GCTTCTGCTGAATGCAGCTATTTGGAAACCAAACTCACTGACGTAATGTCCATGGTGCTGTCTTGAAGTCACACATTAGCCACCATATGTGACCAATGGCAGACCACACAGGCAGACTTATGTGTGTTGTTATTATCTAAACCACTCCTCCATTTTGTGTTGTGTGTAGTTGACATCTTGCGTGCATGCGCTAAGTGCTGTGTTATACCCCATGTACTGGCAACACATCTTCATCCCTGTCCTGCCACCCCACCTACTGGACTACTGCTGGTAAGAAATCTATCTATCTATCTATCTATCTATCTATCTATCTATCTATCTATCTATCTATCTATCTATCTATCTATCTATCTATCTATCTATCTATCTATCTATCTATCTATCTATCTATCACAGTTGATTCACACTTCTTTATTTGGTTTCAGTGCACCTATGCCTTACTTAATAGGGGTCCACACCAGTCTGTCTGAGGTAAACTACTGATTAAAACTATACTTAAATATTAACAAACGTATGAATCTACCAGATTTGTCCCCACAAACTGACCCACCCAACAGATCAAACTGTGTCTCTGTGTTGGACGGACAGAAGGTGAGGAGTCGTGGGTTGGAGGAAGTTGTAATTCTGAATGTGGATACAAATACTCTGGAAACCCCCTTTGATGACCTCAAGAAGATACCTTCAGATGTGGTAATAAATACTCTGTGTGTAGGTTTGTGTTTGTTTGTGTGATTGTCTTTTTAGCATCTCACACTTAACACTCTTTTTATAGTAAGGAAAGAATGACTGGAATGTTATTTAAGTGAAGTCTGTACCACAGAATCAAGTGATGCTTGTTAGCTAAAAGGTACAGGTGTCCTGGCGAAATACACATTGCTGGTGTTTAAGACACAACTTTAGCACACGAGGTAAGAAAACAGTCACCCAGTGCTTGGTTACTGTGTGAATACATTCTACAGTCCACATTGTTGCAGCTTGGACTAGAAAGTAGTAGTCAGAAAGTACAGCACATTGCTGAGCAGCAGCGGTAGCAGCTGCTCTGGGGTTATTTCACAGATATAAATGTATATAAATATGTATATATATCTCCAGATGGCTGGGCTGAAGGTGTGTTTGAAGCGTCAGGCGGTGTCTCCTGGTTGTGGCGTCTCAAGGGCCTTCCTGAAAGCGCAGGCTCTGCTGTTTGGAGGCTATAGGGATGCCCTGCAGGGTCAGAAGGTCAGGTTATTTTTGATAATAAGAATGACAACACTGCAGTAAATAATTACTAGCTTGTTCAAATGTACTTGTACTAATTTACAACGTTCTCTGCATTTGTATTCGGTTGTTTCAATCGGCCTCAGTCTCTCGATCTGTCTTTGCAGGAGGGTGAAATGTGCTTCAGTGAGGAGCTGTTTCTAGATCACAAGTCTTCCAGTATGAGGCACTTCCTACAAAGTGCCATTCATTTACAGTTCTTCAAACAGGTACACATTGTACCTCTTGTTATTTACTGCCATCTGCTGGACAGATTTGCAATTATAAGGACTTGTTGGGCAGATAATTCCAGTTTTTCCCATTGACTGTGGCTAATGGTTTGAAGCAGTCTTAACATTCTCTAAACTATAGGGTAAATTAAATTATCACTGTCAACTGTTTCATGGGACATCACAACCCTATTGGGTGTCTGCAAAAGGTATTACCCAAAACATTTCATTCATGCTTCAAAACCTAGTTATTGTGTCAGTGGATTGGCCAATGCTACCAAAATGAATCTGTGGTGGAATCAGCAGGACTATGTCATCATATTTTGATCAAATAATTTATGTATGTTTTTTTAGTTCATTGATGACCGCCTTGATATTCTGAACAAAGGGAAGGAACCAGATGACCTCTTTGAGGAGGAGATCCTAAATTGTGAAACAACTGCAGGTATGTATGTGTGTGTGTGTGTGTGTGTGCGTGTGCGTGTGCGTGTGCGTGTGTGTGTGTGTGTGTCAAATTTCCTACTCACTTGTGCTCTTTTCTTTGTTTCTGTCTGTTTATAGGGAGAAGCAAATCTTATCAACAGTTAGTTGGCAATTTAAAGGTAACTTACTTTAATCTTTAATGTAACAGTTTCAAATTTGTTCCCATGTTTTTGAAAGAGTGCAACATTGATGCATTCATACTTTTAACAGAAGGGGGGAGGAGCGCTCATCCTTAACATGAAGTCCAAAGCAAACATAAAGGTGTGTATAAATCAAGGTGTTGGGAAAAGTGCAAGTGAATTCAGTCTGCATTACTAAAACGTCTCCCTTCATAATCTTTTTGCTCTCTCTCAGGCAAAAGGTCTTGCCAAGTCTGGGTTGAAAAACCTGCTGATGCACAAGGTGGGTCAGCATTTGTGTGGCTACGTGCTTCGATTGATCCAACTTCTGCGGCAGTTTTACTGTAATACTTTTCTTTTGTGTGTGTATGTGTGTGTGTGTGTGTGTGTGTGTGTGTGTGTGTGTGTGTGTGTGTGTGTGTGTGTGTGTGTAATGCAGACTCACAATGAAGAACACAGCCTTCAGAGAGGAGGCTCAGTGTCACACCGGCGTGCCCAATCTGACTGTTTGCAGAACCGCCTGCCAATCACACAACACTTTGGGAAGGTAAGATCTATTTTAAATATTTAATAAAGTTGTAACAGACATATATCTTCATCATTATCTAATCTGCCTATTTTACCGTCCTATACTGCTTCTTTGTGCTGTTTTGCACCTTTTCTGCTCATTTCTGTCGCTTTATTGTGATTCACCCCAACATCTGTCACTTCTATTGGGGGAATGTTGTTTTGCTTTGCTTTGGTATTCTACGTTGCCTCATGTCAGTCACGTCCACGTCGGCCTGTTTACAAACATAGTGCTCCCAGAGACGAAGAAGACATGAAGGACACTGGAGATACATGGGATGGGTAAGAGTCAAAGAGAGAAAAATGTTGAAAACCCCGGAAAAAGATGAGAATACATAGCATTAATTTTCTGGTTTGTGCCATTCTGTCATCAGAGCTGTGTCTCGGCCTGTGGTCGACACCGACTCTGAGCTCCAGAGGGATGCAGAAGAGGGGGAAGAGTCACCGCTGTGTGACTCGGAGGAGATGGATCTGCTTGGGGAGATCTTTGACACTCTCAGCTCCCGGAGCTCCCATGAGCGCGGCCTGCTGTACGGCACTCGTAGCCTGGATCTGTTTGGACCAGACAGTCATGACTATATCATGAAAGTAAGAGGATGAGAAACTGACACACACATATACTCACACACACAAATGTCATTTCTGATCTAACATCGCATGTTGTATTTACCAGCGAGGTTTTCCAGCCAACCCTAGCCAGGAGAACCTGTCTCTGTCCATCAGCGGCAGTGGCAGCCTGCACAGCTGGAATCTAGAAACCACAGAGGAGCTGTCAGACCTGACAGAAGACACTGATTGGCTGTGCCTGGACAACAGCGTACCAGAAGAGGAAGGGACCGACAGTCTGCTGGCAGCGTGTGACATAGGGGAGCAAGATAGCGGACCAAGGGAGGTCAGAGAGAAACAGGAAGAAGTGAAGGTAGAAACAAATGACAACCAAGAAGAAGAAACAGATGACAGAAATAACTTTAAGGAAGTGAAGGCAGAGGAAGACAGAAAGAAAGATTGTCAAGAAAATAGTGTGAGTTTATTGGAGGACCCTGTGAAAGAAATGGCTGAGAAGCGGGAGGATGAAGAGTTGAAAGAAAAAAGGGAAGATGTGCAAAATCAGAGTGTGGTGGTAATTGGGGCACATGAGAGAGAAGAGGGAACAAATGACATTCTGAAGGGCGTTACAAGAGAAGAAGAGGAAAGAGAGAACCAGGAGGAGGAAGGTAAAGGTGTGACAGGATCTTTAAACAAACTGACAGAACTGAGTCCCCATCATCCCAATGCTGCGGAGCAGCAGCAAGGACAGGAGGACAATCTCACAGGGCCTCAGAGTCCCATTGTTGACCCTGAACCTCCAACAGGTCAGGAAAAAAGAAGTGAAGAAGTAGTGAAGAAAGAGTCGTGGGAGATTAAACAGTCCCCCACTCCTCCTAAAGTGCTGTCTACTGTTGCACGCTTCCAGTCTCAGGTGCATAGCCAGGGCTTTCCGGTGAAGTCCAGGGCCAAGGAATTTGCTGAACCTGGGAGACCGTGCAACATGTTTCGGAGCAAGGAGAATGCACAAACTCACCACTCGCCATGTGACTCGCATATATCAGAAGAGAACAACCACTCGGAGGTGCACGTGGAGGAAGACCTGCCTTCAATCAAAGTGTCTGAACTTAAGAAGAAATTTGAAGCTTAAAGCAGGAATCTGGTGACATTCTAGTATTACTGTTCGATGACTAAAAGGAGCAATGTGTTCACTGTCTTAATATTTTCCTATTTCTCCTGCATTGTCTGTGACTCAGCCTCAAGCCTGTTTGTCTCTGAAGATCTTCAGTATCTAAATTCAGTCAATAATGCATTTATTGGGGACTATTTTCAGCCACAGATTTGGTGTGCTGGAGAATCTTTTTCAGCAAATGTTGTTCAATAGTAATAGTTTCAGTAGTTGGCCTTTCTATGGGATTTATTGACAATAAGAAAAACATGAAACATCACCAGACTTATCCTCAGGGACGGAAACAGGCTGGAAAGTCACCTTGCGAAGATTTATCAAATATTTAAACTGATTTGTGTTTGTTTGAATATTGTATACTTCACTGGTAAATGACTGGAGAATTGCACTTAAAATGAATTGCAACTAGGCAACATGGTTCAAATAAAGAAAAACATTCTCTAACAGTGAGGACAATGAATGTTGATGGCCCATTTGTTATTGATACATGCATATTTTCAGCAAGTGTGAGAGAGACATTATGCACTCCATCAGCTACTTACCAGCCAAAACGTATTACACTTAATGAAAGTCTGGATAACCTATACCGGCATAAACTAAACATTTTGAGCCTTTGCCTTCAATGCTTCAAGACAAGGGACAGAAAGAGAGCCATAGTGTGCACATTCCTGGTTTATTAACAGAAAAGCTTGTGTACCATACATATTGATTTTTATGTTTAAGAAATTGAGAAATTCTCAGAGCTCCACATAAATGTGCATCACAGTCATCATCTGTGTTTTAATCAATACCCTTCATAACCGGAAAACGTGTAAAACACAATGTTTATTATATAAATACACAGTACAGTAAAATACACTGACATCTGTACAAATACAAAACATACTTCACCTCATGTTCCTTATGTGGCAGAATAAAGGGAGTGACTTATTTAGTTAAGGTACATGCATTTCCTCTTTCCATGCAGTGAGACAGGTGATATATAGTTTGATCAGTCTATTTCTTGTCACCAACAGTGTTTAGTGTGTCTGAATATTTCTGGTGCAAAACACAAACATGCATCATCCCAGAGGTCAGCAGCAGAGCAACATCAAGAAACAGGAGGTATAGATCCACAGGTTTATACAGCGGCAGCGTGGTGAAAGTGTGCAACACCACTTTTATATGTTCAATCATATGAGGCGTTCTTCTTTGGGCAACGGTAGAGGCAGGCCAGGTTTTTCAGATCCTGCTGCTCCTGTCTGTTTCCTCTCCTCGGCACTGGGCCTGTACATTCCCTCCATCCGTCTTTTCTTCCTGATGACACACAGCAGCAGCAGCAGAGCCAAGCTGAGCAGGGACAGCACGGTGGACACAAACACTGACACTGTAGGTGGGATTATCACCTGCATCGCCATGGTGACAAACAGCTGGGGAGGGAATAGCACACAGTCTGTCAAAGGGGTCAGTAAATGTATAACTCCAGATAAAACCATTGATGATTACCTGCAGCATGTCAAATAAAGTCTCTGTAATGCTTTGGTTTGTAATAATAAAGTTCCCACTTTTAAATCAAAAGCATAACCTATTAACCACTTCTCTTAATTGAAACTGTCATAATTAAACCCTTCAAGGAGTTACTTGTTACTTTGCACAAATTAACTGTTTGTGCAAAGTTTTTGCCTTAAAAGTGAGCAGTGGAGGTTAATATGTTACTCAGGAATCTTTGTGTGTTTGATAAATGAATTAGATTTTTAAGTCACTTAAAAAGTTGACAAAGACAAAGACTAATTATTCATATATTATTGTAAATTAAATATAAAAGTAACAATATCATGATAAAAACAATAATGGTAACAATGTAAAACCTGTGATATTTTATTGTAAAAAAAATGCAAAGACATACATAAGAACATGAAATGTGTAATAAAAACATTGGTTTCTGATTGTAATGAACAGATAAGGCATGTTAGTCTGATCTGGAATAATAAATCTCCACCGCTGCTTTCATGAAACCAAGTTTCGGCTAAACTCAACCAGGATAACTGGACAGTCCTGGCTTTAATCCGGCCCTCAGCCCACAGGAAACCAAAAGGTTACAAAAATATCCATAATAGCAAACAGCTACACACGGATGAGCTCATGTCATGTCATAGTCATGACATGCCTATTGTGAACTCACCTCCCTGAGGAATTTAAAGTATTGATCAGATCTGTGTGGCCTGTGTTCTCACATATGGACCAACACACCATTCACAGCAATGACAATGGAGCATCTGGGGAAAAAAAAGAAAAAAATTGGGTCTTATCACTGTCCAAGATTTTATGTACACGAGGAAAAGCAAAGATAATTTAGGTTTGTCAGCTTTATCTAAGAGGTGAGGTCTGTGTGAAATCACATTTTATTTGTCCACACAAAAAAAATGGCAGTTCAATATATAGGCGAGCGTGATCCCCGTGGTAATAGGAGCACTCGGGGCAGTGACCCCCAAACTGGGGGAGTGGCTCCAACAGTTCCCAGGAACAACATCATATATATGTATGTATGTATGTATGTATGTATGTATGTATGTATGTGTGTATGTGTGTGTGTGTGTGTGTGTTTATGTTCACTTGTATAAATAAGAAAGACAGTGGAGAAACCACCATCTCTGGTATATGCATAAAGCCATATGAGAGACTAAATAATAATAATTCTACTTGATAAAGAAAATGGCAATTTATCATTTTTTCAAAATAATAATCTTTCTGTCTCTCTTTCTTTTTAAACATTCTTAAATATATAAAAAATTTACACCAGAAAATTTGGACTTGAAGGTGGGTCAACACTTCTCTAACAAACAGCAATGTTTCTGTTGTGTGTGTGTGTATCACACAGGTTTTCCCAGCTGTTTTATGGGATAGCGTTTCATTTTACAAGGGTGTTGAAGTATTATTGCAAAAGGCCCTACACAACGTCATACACTGAACGTAGTGGAGGTAGAAAGAGAAGAAATGTTGATTTATAGAATACTGTGTGAGCATAATCAATCAAGAAAAATCATTAGAGCTGAAACATTGTGACTATTAATCTATCAACATAAATCAATAACAACAGAACAAAACTATTTAACTGTAAGAATGTTCTGCTCTTAAAAAAAAAAAAAATTAGGTTTTAGACATTTGAAGATAACTGAAGATGTGATATTGTGGTCTAGGAAGATGCAATGTCATTGTTCTATGACAATCTATGTTGTACATTTTATTATTGCAATTAATTATAATAATGAGCAAAGTAATGACAACATTTGTTGATTGCAGCTCTGAAATGCTCAACAGTTAAAGAAGGTGGTAAATAATGTTGCTTTATTGATCACTTGTAGGAGAAATTCAAGTCAGACATAGCAGCATAGGGGAATGCAGTGCAAGAAAGTACAGAAGTGTATAAAATATAAGACTATAATGGAAAATATATACACTATATGCAATAAAACGGTGTGCAAAATATCTTGAGAATCTACAATAATAATTCCACCTTTACTGTGCCCGCCATGTAATACGTTTACACGGAAAACAAAACTACAGAATAAGTCCTGGTAGAAAGGAGAAGATACTCTGATGAAGAAATCCACTAAACTCACCCCACATGTGCTTTCACCATACGGGTGCAGGCTGTTTACCTCAATCAGACGCTGAAAAGGCAAAATTTTCTCAACTAAATCCTCGATAAACTAATCACACCGACACCGACACACCCACCGAAGCTTTATATTGCCACAGGCGGATGCTTGTGTGTGTGTGTGTGTGTGTGTGTGTGTGTGTGTGCTTGCGTGCGTGCGTGTGTGTGTGTGTGTGTGTGTGCACTGGCGGAATGCAGCACGTCCTGCTCCACCGGTTCGACCGGCGCCCTCTCAGCTCAGGTGAGCCTGTGAGGGGAAGTGACAGGTGAAACCGCTGATCGGTGAGAGAACAGAAGGAGCTGCTGCAGGCTCTCTGACCGTGAAGACGCTTAGACGAGGGTTCGGTTGAGGCTCGACTTGTAGGGGTTAACTGTTGCTTTCTTTTCAGAGATCAATGTGATAAATTCGGTGGTAGTTTAGTTACCTGGCGGTTGTTGAGGGTCCTGTGGTGACTCCTGGTTCACTGCAAGATCCTAAATTCATAATCCGGCGGTCAGGGATCGGTGTGCTCGCGGCATACCTGAAACTATTTTCTCCCACGCTCACCTGCCGGCCCATATGCAAATAAGCCTGGCCACGTGTCCCATCTGCGCCAATCAGATGCGCCAACAGCTCTCTCTCTCTCTCTCTCTCTCTCTCTCTCTCTCTCTCTTCTCTCTCTCTCTCTTTTACTTTTAGTTATTCGCCTTGGTCCAGACTGGCCACTCGTCATTGCTCCGTTTGCTCTATAAATACAAGAATAATTCTGATCATGGTTATTATTATATTGTATTACAATATTTATTAGTGTATTATCAATTAATATTTTATGACTACATTATTACATGAAATCATTATTACATGTAATCATCATGTAACAACATTTGTTGTTACAACAACAATATTGTTGTTACATGATATATAATATCACTATAACTTTAACACTGTGTTTTACTAACTTTCTTTATGTCCGCCACACATGTAATCCTCCACACACCAACCTGCAAACACACCAACCTTACCTACACTTACCCTACTAATTTCTACTTCTGACTCATTGTAAAAATGTTATGGTTCCCTGATTGTATGTCCATCATGTCTATCTTGCTATGTCTAAAATTAGCACAAAAAGTAAAGAAATTTGTGTTTGGTTGATTATTTCTCTGTGGTAACAATGCATCTTATACCGTTGGAAAGCCTGTTTAGTTCCCTTTCAAATGGTGCCCCATTTGTAAGGAACATGCACTTGTGGGATGAGCAGCAGAGCTGAGTATGTGGGTTGCGCCCATGAAAAATTTGCCAAATCTTCTCTGCCAATGCCAAACAGCTTATTCTGCCATTGACTCGTTTGGTGTTTGGTGGATTGGATGATTGAAGTTTGAAGAAACAAGACATATTGGCAATAACAATTTATTCATTTCACAAACAGGAGCCTCAGTAGCGTGTGGAAGAACCATACACAGCCACAACAGCCTGGCACCTCCTCCTCATGCTGGTCACCAGCCTGGTCACACACTGCTGTGGGATGGCATCCCATTCTCCAACCAGCATTTGTCGCAAGTCAGCCAACGTGGTTGTGTTGGTCACTCTGGCACGAACAGCACGCCCAAGCTCATCTCACAAGTGTTCAGTGGGGTTGAGGTCAGGACTACTGGCAGGCCATTCCATCCTCTCCACTCCCACATTCTGGAAGTAGTCTCTTATAAACCCTGCCCTGTGGGGGCGAGCGCTGTCATCTTGGAGGATAGAGTTCAGTCCCAGACTGTGGAGATATGAGATTGCCACTGGTTGCAGAATCTCATCTCTATAGCTCTCTGCATTGAGATTGCCTAGAATGATGACAAGCCTTGTTTTTCCAGTGAGGGAGATGCCGCCCCACACCATCACACTGCCTCCACCAAAAGATGTTATTCTATCGGTGCAGCAATCAGCATGGCGTTCTCCGCATCTTCTCCACACTTTGACCTCACGATCCAGCTGCCGTAGGCAGAATCTGGACTCATCACTGAACATAACATTCCTCCACATGTTCACGTTCCAGTGCACGTGTTGCCGGTCAAAGGTCAAAGGTCAGTATTGTGTGCATGACAAAACTTCAGCGTTCACGGGCGCAGCAAAGATTGGGAGTTGAATGCGGTTTCTTATCCCAAAAATATGGCAGAAAAAAGAAAGAAAACATGTCATTTTCACAGTGAATGGGAGGAAGAGTTATTTTTTACTTCTGTGAAAGAAACCTGCGTGTGTCTCATTTGCGGGGCGACTGTAGTGACGGCAAAGCGGCACAATGTTGAGAGACACTTCATTACGTGTCACAAAAGCTACCATGCTAACTACCCACCGGGCAGCCTGCTATGGGCAGAAAAAGCCCGTGAGCTAAAGGCAGCTTTGGGTAAGCAGCAGTCTTTTTTCACGAGGCCGGCGAAAGACTCCCAAAAAGCAACCGAAGCCTCATTTAGAGCTACATATTTTCTGATAAAGAAGAAGAAGGCATTTTCAGACGGAGAAGTTGTCAAAGAAGCATTAATGATTATTGCTAACACTGTACTTAAAGACTAGAAAAATGGAACTGATCGAATCGCCACTCTCTCCGATGTCCAACTGGGGGCATCTATGATGGCTAGACGAGTGTCAGTTATGTCCGGTAACTTGGCTCAGCTGGACTGGGATCTGACGAAGTGCAGGTGGTTTAGCATCCAGTGCAACGAGTCCATGGACAGCAGCAGTACAGCGCAGCTCTTGGTCTTTATCTGGATGGTGTTTGATGATATCTCCACAAAAGAAGAACTCCTGACACTACTGCCCCTAAAGACAACTACGAGGGGGGCTGACATTCACAGGCTGTGAAGGAGTTTTTCGTGCAGAAAAAGGTACCATTGGAAAAGCTGGTAGCGGTGACTACAGACGGGGCTCCTGCTATGATGGGCCGACATACAGGTTTCATCACTCACTGTAAAGGTGACCCAGACTTCCCAAAATTTCTGAAGTACCACTGCATCAATCACCAGCAGGCGATTTGTGCAAAAGTGATCGGCTTTGGGCATGTGATGACTCCCGTTGTGAAAATCATAAACAGCACCCGCTCCAAAGCGAAACAGCACCGGATATTGAAGGTGCTATTGGAGGAGATGTCAGCTGAATATGGTGACCTGCTGCTACACACAGCAATCCGACGGCTCAGCAGAGGACGAGTTTTACTTAGTTTTTTGTCACATTTGGGTGAAATCAAAGAGTCCATGCAGTCCAAAGGCGAAGGCGTCTCGCTCTAGAGGACACAGAGTGGACACTTGACCTTGCATGGTTTAAACTAAACCACTTGAACTGCGAGCTGCAAGGTAAAGGTAAGACTGTTGTTGATATGATAGATACAAGATGAACATTTTCTCTGTGCATTTACAGAGAAAAAAGGAGAAGGGGTTGTAGCCGATTCTGTGGTTTGTCCAAGGACCATGGTCTCTGGCACGGACCAGTGGTTACTGCCACTAGGGGCGCTAGAGACACTGGTTGCGACCAGTTGCTCTGTGGCACAGGCCATCTGGTATCTGGCACAGACCAGTGGTCACAACCACTAGGGGCGCAAAAGATACTGGTCCTGACCAACTCCTCAGTGATCTGCCCTGTGGTCCCTGTGGTATGTGAAGGACCTTTAGTATTCCTTTTGGTCATTTTGGCAGCACTGTTAGCTGGATAAATGTCAGAGATCATAATCTTCTGGTCGTGACCAGTGTCTTTAGCGCACCTAGTGGTAGTGACCACTGGTCTGTGCCAGAGACCATGGTCCCGGGACAGACCACGCAATCAGCTACAACCCCTGCTGGAAAAAAGGTGCTGCACTTTCCCCTCTGTGCACTCGGTGCTGAAAGACAATGCTTCTGCATCTGAGATATTTGACAATGTTGCAGAAAAGTACTGTCGAGTCATAAACAGACTTGGGCAAGAGTTTGAGAATAGGTTCTGTGACCTTGATCAGCTTGAGCCATGTGTGTCATTCATCTCCAATCCTTTCATGAACGTGGACATAACATGCATTGCTGAGCAACTAAGTGCAACGTTCAACTTGGATGCTGGACTGGTGCAGATTGAAATCGTAACATTGCAAAATTACCTCCACCTCAAAGCCTACCAGGCTGCACCAAACTTTTGGTGCCTTGTTGACACAGAACCGTACAGTGGTGTATTCACAGCAGCTATGAAGGTTGCCAGCCTGTTTGGTTCAACCTATCTCTGTGAATCAGTGTTTTCTGACATGAACTTCATCAAGAACAAACACAGAACACGCCTCACTGATGCACATCTGCAAGACTCACTCAGAGTTGCAGTGTCAGGTTACACACCAGATTACAATACACTGATGAACAGCATGCAATGCCAGTCTTCCCACTAACAAAGAAGCAGATACCAGATGTTGTCAGTGCCAACATGGCAAAGTTGAATTAAAATACTGAAACATTGTGTTCAATTCAAAAGTGTGTTCATGAAATGTAACAGATATAATTTTGTTGAAAATGACGCAGATTTGGTCATTAGTTCAAAATGTGTTAAGATTTATTTAAAAATATATAAGTTGATTGTTCTTAAACATTACATAATTGATAACTTTTTCAAACATGGTGCAACATAGTTCATGATTTGTTAAAAGTGTTTGTTAGTGGCTAGTGAAAATGGGACATTTTTCCTATGAAATGTTGTAGAAGTGATCATCTGAAAATTTAAACAATTGCTGAGATTAATAGAAATAAAGTATTGAATATTGATATTATCTGTTCCCCACCTTGTTAAGTCATTATTGATAATTATTGTGAGAAATCATTAACATGATCAGTGTCTTCACATAGATGAGTATCATTAATCATAATAATAATATATAACTAAAGGCAAACTGAGCTAATTTGTTATTTCAGAAGAGTGTATCAAACTGGTAGCCCTTTGTATGACTCAGTACCCAGGAAGTAGCTCTCAGTTTCAAAAAGGTTGGTGACCCCTAATCTAGTACTATGTATGTCATCAGTTAAAAAAACAGAAAGCTGTTGTTTATCAGGACAATCTGCTCTCTGGTGTGGCCTAGTTTCATTAATAGGCTACTAATCAAACAAACTTTGTTCACATCCAAATAGCAAATAGGACTCTGGACTTGTAGAATAAAGACAACACTATTGCTGCTCTTGGCTGAACTGGAACTTATCATACGTTTGAAAAAAAAAAGAAAATAATGAATCATCCAGATTAAAAGTTTAGGGAAAAGACACAATGTCTATTTTTTGCAGGAGTTACACAGATGAAGCTTCCTTTTTTTAGTAGGCCTTGATCCTTCTAAAGCATATTTACTACAGCCTGCTGCATGTAAGGTCTAAAAGGGTAATAAATAAATATGAGTAATAAATAAACTAGTCCTAAATAGAAAAATGGAAGATTACCAATTAAAGTACAACATACAAATGTAAAGGCAGACGTTTTGAACTTTGCCAACTGAAGGTTCACTATGGCTATGAATGGTGATAACTGCCCATTTGGTTTCCTATTGATAATCCACAGAAAGTGCACTCTATAATATATGTGAATTAAATGGCACTCTTAAGTAACAACTGGAGTAAAGTTACTAACTTAAAAAAAAAGCTAAATTATATACTATAATATTACCCCATCAGCCAACACCACAAAGCAAGGCCAGACCCCCACCAAGCAATAGATGAGAGCAGCCCATCCGGGTACTTTGGCCTTGCGTCAAGCCCTCACCTCCTTTTGGGTGAAAGAAGCCCCTCTAAATGTTATTGTAATGTAAATTCTGAGATCTTTGCCAATTTTATACCATAAAATAAGAATACTGTATTGCTTTTTGGCTATTAGGAGCCAAAATCCCGTGGCCAGCAAGGCAAACAATTGTTGTGTCATTGTTGTTGTTATATAGAAATAAATGCCAAAAAAGGGGTTCATGAGTGTCCTTTCAGTTTTAATAACCCGGAAATCAATTTTTACGTAGTTTTTAAAAGTAGCATAAAGGGAACTATATCCAAATTTAAATGACAATGAAATAACCTTGAATCCATGAAAAAGTATAATGCCAAAATAACGTACACCCAATCAAAGGACATTTCATGTAGAAATGTAAATCTAAATATTTGGCTATATATAATACAACTTCAGAATTTGATGATGTTCAGTATGTTTGATTATGTGTAATTATACTGATTCAGCAGGCTCAGAAAAGACAGAATTTAAAAACATGATCTGTACTTTTGCAGTTAGCTGCTGCGAGGTTAGTCAAACATTTAAACCCTCATTGATTTTCTACTGTTTATCTTTTTCCTCAGATCAGATAGCAGTTTCTCAACTGCTGCTGGGAAATCATGTGTTAGTGTGTTTGTATTGGCACACAACGTAACAAAAATTGGATTAACATGAAAAATATACATCGGTTGCACGTATTAAAATCATGTTTACTGATATGTCAACTTAAAGGTCTTCTGTATATTCAGTTACTATCTGATGAACTAACATTAAATTTTTCTGTATTGTACCATTATAATAACCTTCCTAAATGTCAATAAGACTAAAGATATCTTTGTTGATCAGAGGAAATCACACTCCTCCCATCAGTAGGTCATCTGTTGAAAGTGTCAACAGTTTCTCATTTCTTGGTTTAAACATCACAGACATCTTCACATACACTTTAAAAAGCCCTTCACTGGGGGAGTTTATACTACCTATATTTAAATTGTAGTTTTGTGCAATTAAATTAATTAAATTCATTCATTTATTTGTGTTTTTTTAAGTCACACCTAATTAAAACATTTCAAGATACTGGCAAATCTTTATTTCCTAAAAATAAATTGAATTTCATAAAACTGCTTGAATTAAAAGTTAAGAAGCAGGAAAAAATGGGCAGCATGAGGATTTGAGCGACTTTGACAAGGGCCAAATTGTGATGGCTAGACAACTGGGTCAGAGCATCTTCAAAACTGCACCTCTTGTGGGGTGTTCCCGGTCTGCAGTGGTCGGTACCTATCAACAGTGGTCCAAGGAAGGAAAAGAACGGAATACATGGTCATGGGTGGCCAAGGTTCATTGATGCACGTGGGGAGTGAAGGTTGGCCTGTGTGGTCCGATCCTACAGACGAGCTAGCTCAAACTGCTGAAACAGTTAATGCTGGTTCTGATAGAAAGGTGTCAGAACCAAGTGTGAACCTACCGTGACGTCACCCATTGGTTTATGGAGTTTTACAGTTGGTACTCAATTGGTATGAGTACCAAAACCTTTGTGAACTGTTATTACAGTACCATTGAGAGTGTCATGACAGGCTGCTTCACAGTGTGGTTTGGCAACATGACAGCTCAGAAAAAGACTGCTTGAAAAGACCAGATAGGCAAATGATCAACTCACCACTTTGTAAACTCTCTGCTAACTTTGCAACTTTGCTAGGTTGCTTGAGGTTTTCAAATGTTGGAGGGGATAAACACTAGCTACAATCTGCACCACATCAGCCATAACATTATGACCACCAGAATGCCCAGGTGGTCACCAGCGAACTCCATGCGGGGCGTTAGTGCAAATACCCTGAAACGAACTGACATACACAAAGAAAGAGGTTCTTTTTTGCTGCAGAAGGACAATCTATTTTGAGTCACAGACAGTTCCACTTATGTTAAAAGAAGGGTTCATTTTACTGCATGTTACTGTTCAGTGGAGGAACTGATGGAAATAGATAGGGTGGCATGTTTCTATGGTAATCCTCATAGAAGTAGGAGAGTTTTTTTTCAGCACTGATGGTGCATTGAACTCACCATCGCTGTTGGGGGTATAGAGGGTCTTGTCTGTCTGGATGAAGATGTACACAAACTGGAAGGACACTAAGACGACTTTCTCCAGCAGTCGGTCAGGGAACCGAGCTTGCAGGTACACATACTGTTTAATGCTGGGATCTTTGTTGAAGTCACCAGCTGGGATCTGAAACCAGCATGTAGAGACACAAGCAGTGCATGTAGAGCGGAACGGGGTCTGACAGGTTATAACATGTACATTTATGGTTTTTGACCTCTTGTTGGTGGTCATGATAGAAAATGAAGCTAGTAACACATACTGTACATATTTTAAATTAAAAAATATATATTTTCCCCCTTCTGCCTTTACTTATTGTGTGACCCCTTAGGTTTATCTTGGTATCCTTTGGTGGGTCTTGGGTCCCCAGGTTGAGAGGGTCTGTCCGTTAAAGTTTCAGTTCCCCCAAATTATCAAACCGGTATTTGCTCAGAAGAGGACCATGAACAGCTTGGACAGACAATCAGTGACCTATTATCTTGATTAAGATCCAGCACTGGATCAATACAACATTTCATCATGACTCTAGACTCTGTTTGCTGTGTCTGTTGTAATGTATCACTGTGCAAACTCTGAACTAAATTCAACCAATTTACTGGCATTCTGTATAAAACTACATTATCTTAACTTATCTGACACACACTGTAAACCGGACTGCAGTTCCTCAGTTTGTAAGACACAGGTGATTACATGGGAGTTAAATTAATGTAGCCACACACTTGATGTAGACATGTAGAGAACCCCTGATATTGTTGCTCCTCCTGTTACAGTTTAACTAATAACAATTCGAAAAACAGGTAGCACAAACAAACAATATATATTATTATACTCACAATGGAGCTCCATCAGCCAGAGAAGTGAGTGAGGCAAAGGCCAGAGAGGCCACCAGCCACAACAGAGTCCTACTCATCCTTCTGCCTGATCTGCTGTCAATGTAGACTGTCACTCTGCAGCACCCTCCTTATATCCACTCTCCTCCCTCCTGCATCTCCACTTCACCTGGCTACTGCCTCACCCATCCTCCTCCCAAAGTGTCTATGCACTAAAAAAAAGGGGGAGATGGTGGATTGTCCAATGTACAAATATGCAGTTTATACTACACAATTCATTGTTTCTTTTTCATACATATTGTGATTAAGAATGTGCCTGTACACTAGCTAGTAGAATGCTGGGCAGAGAAGCTCCATGTGGCTGGGATGGCAGCCGGTGTTTGACATGTTTAAAATTATGACCACCAGAATGCCCAGGTGGTCATAATGTTATGGCTGATCGGTGTAGACAAAAGACCATCTCTGCATCCATCTCAACAACAGTAGAAACATTGAGTTAAATGTGGAGGGATCAAACACCAGCTGCCATCCCAGCCACATGGAGCTTCTCTGCCAAGCATTCTACTAGCTAGTGTACAGGCATTGGATAAAAAACTGGGCGACCTACATTCCTGCAATGCTTTCCAATGGGATACTTTTTCCCTCCTTCTTAATCACAATATGTATGAAAAAGAAACAATGAATTGTGTAGTATAAACTGCATATTTGTACATTGGACAATCCACCATCTCCCCCTTTTTTTTAGTGCATAGACACTTTGGGAGGAGGATGGGTGAGGCAGTAGCCAGGTGAAGTGGAGATGCAGGAGGGAGGAGAGTGGATATAAGGAGGGTGCTGCAGAGTGACAGTCTACATTGACAGCAGATCAGGCAGAAGGATGAGTAGGACTCTGTTGTGGCTTGTGGCCTCTCTGGCCTTTGCCTCGCTCACTTCTCTGGCTGATGGAGCTCCATTGTGAGTATAATAATATATATTGTTTGTTTGTGCTACCTGTTTTTCGAATTGTTATTAGTTAAACTGTAACAGGAGGGGCAACAATATCAGGGGTTCTCTACATGTCTACATCAAGTGTGTGGCTACATTAATTTAACTCCCATGTAATCACCTGTGTCTTACAAACTGAGGAACTGCAGTCCGGTTTACAGTGTGTGTCAGATAAGTTAAGATAATGTAGTTTTATACAGAATGCCAGTAAATTGGTTGAATTTAGTTCAGAGTTTGCACAGTGATACATTACAACAGACACAGCAAACAGAGTCTAGAGTCATGATGAAATGTTGTATTGATCCAGTGCTGGATCTTAATCAAGATAATAGGTCACTGATTGTCTGTCCAAGCTGTTCATGGTCCTCTTCTGAGCAAATACCGGTTTGATAATTTGGGGGAACTGAAACTTTAACGGACAGACCCTCTCAACCTGGGGACCCAAGACCCACCAAAGGATACCAAGATAAACCTAAGGGGTCACACAATAAGTAAAGGCAGAAGGGGGAAAATATATATATTTTTCATTTAAAAGGAGTCACACACAAAGCAGGGAACTACTTCTTAAGAGATCCACTCTTAAGACCCTCTATTATTATGTATGTGTTTATAGTGCCTAAAATAAATACATTAAGAACATATCATCAGTGCATCCTAAACAGCATGTTTCTGCTCAATGTAGACTGATTTTCCATTATCTCTCTTCTTTCTCGTCTTGCTGCTCTGCAGGCAGGTGATGTCTGCCCCCAACTTGTTGCGGGTAGGAACACCAGAAAACATCTTTGTGGAGTGTCAAGACTGCACAGGAGGAGACATCAGGGTCGATATCAAAGTGATGAATCATCCAACCAAAACCAAAGAACTGGCAACCACATCTGTGACCCTCACTACAGCAAACAACTTCCAGGAGTTTGGAAAATTAACGGTAAATGAAATACTGTATGATATGTACAGTATGTGTTACTGGCTTCATTTTCTATCATGACGACCAACAAGAGGTCAAAAACCATAAATGTACATGTTATAACCTGTCAGACCACGTTCTGCTCTACATGCACTGACTGTGTCTCTACATGCTGGTTTCAGATCCCAGCTGGTGACTTCAACAAAGATCCCAGCATTAAACAGTATGTGTACCTGCAAGCTCGGTTCCCTGACCGACTGCTGGAGAAAGTCGTCTTAGTGTCCTTCCAGTCTGGGTACATCTTCATCCAGACAGACAAGACCCTCTATACCCCCAACAGCGATGGTGAGTTCAATGCTCCATCAGTGCTGAAAAAAACTCTCCTACTTCTATGAGGATTACCATAGAAACATGCCACCCTATCTATTTCCATCAGTTCCTCAACTGAACAGTAAAATGCAGTAAAATGAACCCTTCTTTTAACATAAGTGGAATTGTCAATGACTCAATATAGATTGTCCTTCTGCAGCAAAAAAGAACCTCTTTCTTTGTGTATGTCAGTTCGTTTCAGGGTATTTGCACTGACGCCCCGCATGGAGTCCACAGAGATCGGACTCCAAACTATTGACATTGAGATTGTGGTATTGTATTTTATATTTGATAACTTTATTATCCCCAATGGGGAAATTCTTTTTTGTTTTTTTAATTGAATTGAATTGAATGTTATATTATATAATCAGCTGTAACTGGGTCTTGTGATGGGTGATAACACAAATTCTAAACAGTAAATTAAAGCTGCAAGCAGCGCTGGGCGGGACCTCACCATCTCCCCACGTCGGGGCTAGCACGGTGGTTGCCTGCCGCAGCCGCGCCACACCAAGTCACCCCACGCCCAAGCCCTCATTGCTGGAAGCCAAGGGAAACCGCTCTACGTCGTCATGCGTTTCAGACACCGTGCAAAAGACTTCTGCGTTCATAGTGAGACTCTCCACTGCGAAACTGGGAAATTCAGTGCCACGCCATGGACACGCCGTTTGACGCACAGTAAATATTTGATTAACTTTTGATCACCAATGTGTCTAGATTGCATTGATCGAATCTGAAGTCAATCCGAAAAAAATCTGTAGGAGGATTTAGTTAAAATAGAAGCCGGAAATGGCATCACAGTTTGACATTCGATTCAATCTGGCCAACTCTGACGACACGCCATGGACACGCCCTTCAATGTACAGTCACAAATAGCACAACTTTTAATCAACAACATATGTTGACTGTACTGACTAATTTTGAAGCAGATCCGATAAATTCTCTAGGAGGAATTCGTTCAAATACAAGGCGAAAAGTTTGACGAAAGTGAAAATGAAAATGAAAATGGCCAACTTCCTGTGGGGTTTAGGGTATGGGTCCAAGAGGCTTTTTTGTACGTCTTGGGACGTTACACATGCCTACCGAGTTTCGTACATATTGGTAAAACGTGGTGCCGGGGCTGCTTTGTTGAAATACTGTAAGGGGCACAACAAACACGACAAACACGATTTTTGGTATGTGAACTACAGGCGCACGTGCCCTGTGAATTTCCCATTCACAACTATTACGGTCTCTGCAGAGTGATTTACCCTGCCACCAGAGTGCCACCTTGTGGCGGATTGTTGGCACATTTTTTAGCGAGCCTCAGGAAGCCATGGGGAATCATTGTACCAAGTTTCGTTTTAATCACACTTGCCGATGCGGAGATATAAACGTTTTCCTTTTAAAGAGCGCCACCCTGTGGCGATGGCCTGAAATTGTGCATGATGTCTAAGGAAGACAGGTGGAACTATGGACCCAAGCTTGGTGTCAATCGGACATACCAGTGTGGAGAAATGGTCCACTTCGTTTTTTGACAAAAAATCTACAGGAAGTGCTAATTTTATAGTGTGCGTATTATTTTAAATATCAAAATTCTTCAAATTACTTTTTTTGCCATGATGGTGTCCAGATGCTTCGTTAAAAAGTTTGTGCGAATCGGACAAAGCACATAGGAGGAACACCAAACAGTAGTTTATGGACATTTTGCGCTCTAGCAAAAACAAAAATAGGCAGAAGTGGGCGTGGCCTATATGGGGAGATTCAGCTCCATTCACCGAACGTGTGGATATAATGTTTTTGTATGTGCGACAAACTATGCAGAAGTTATTAGCCTAAACGCATTTTTTATGATAGTAGCGCCACCTAGTGGCCAACCCGAAAGCGACGCATAGAATATCCCATTTTCACCAGGCCTGACCACTTTGCTAATTAAAATTGAGTTTTAGTATATGTTCAGGGGGCAAAAATGCAGTCGAAGGGGGCTAAAAATAATAGGTAAGAAAAACAATTCTAGCAAATACAATAGGGACCTCCAGCGGTCGCTGGCTCGGTCCCTAATAATTTCCCTACAAATGATCAAAATATCGGTTTTGTGTTTCCCCAGTAACACCTGTACCATTACTTACTGTAAGAAATAAATGCATGTCTCCCTCTAGTGGTTGAGTTGCACATTGAACGTTGACCAGGCTCATGGATTGTAGTGTAGATTGTAGACATAGCATGGATTTACTGAATTAATTTGTTCAATATTGTCTATTTCTAGACCCCTGAAGGCATAATTCTACTACCATTTCGTACTGCAGTCTCTCTGAAATCAGGGATCTTCTCTGGAAAGTACACACTTCCTGAAATTGTTAGGTGAGTATTTGATCTTATTTGAATCTGATTTTATCAATTATATTTCTATACCTTTTGTTGTTGAGCAGTGAATTTACAGTTTATGCATAACTATGGCAGCATATGGCCATTGCAGGTTAAAAGATAAAATTAGAAAGCTGGGAGATGGGGTAAATATTCTGGGACAGACCCAAAACTATTTCACATTTTCATGATTTTACATATTTTGTCAGTGAAAATTGAAGGGCTGCACGATATGGTAAAAATACCACATTGCAATTATATTGACAGATATTGTGATTGAGATATGATCCCCCAATAGTGTAGGAATAATCATTTTTGCAACACAATTTTGATTTTGACTAGAACATTTGAAGCAGTAGGCTACTGTATGTCAGTGCAAAGTTCGGGGTGCTGAGAGAAAGCAACATCACCACTTCCTGGAGGGACTGTGTTATGCCAGATTTTAAAGGGTGCTGCAGCCACCTCTGCTTGTTAATATGTCCCAGTTTCCTTTAATCATATATCATAAAGTAGACTTGATCTGAACACTGTTCTTGCTCTGTTTCTGGATCAGTAACTGTTCTCTAGTGAGACATTATTTTAACCCTTACATACTGTTCGGGTCAAAATTGACCCTTTTTGACACAACAGTAAAAATACCCTGCATGTCATTCTTTTAATCTGAAATTGATGAATTTTCCTAAAGAGACCCAAAATACACAAAAATGGAAATATTTAAAAATGTTACACTTTTGCACAGGTGCTACAAGATTTCTGTTCCGTGTCAAATTTGACCCAGATCTAGTGAGATGGATTTTAGACCCACTAGAGTGGGTCAAATCAAGGAAAATGGTTGTTCTAGGGAATCTTGAAAATGTGAAACTGTATCTGTGTGTATTTTTATGCGACAGTGGCAACAGACCTTGACACTGTCACAATAACTATTCGCCCAGGTGGTCATGTTGGTCTTGGGGGGCCATGGGGGGGACCTCGAAACAGGGAAATAGTACAACAGCATCAGTGGTCATATATGGTGCACATAAGAAGGTCATACAGAGGTCAGAAGGTGCCTTGACACAGAGACATGCATCTGCACCTGCAATGTAACAATATAATCTAAAAATAGACTAATTGGAATCAAATCAATGTGTGTGTGTGTGTGTGTGTGTGTGTGTGTGTGTGTGTGTGTGTGTGTGTGTGTGTTTGGAGGAGGGGGGCTGGGGTTAATAAGATTATAAAAGGTACCAGAGCTGCCCTTTCAGTGGCAGAGGTACAGAGGTCATGGCAGCAAGACTCACTCTTCAAGAGGTCCTTGATCAGATCTTCCACGATGAAGAAGCTGAGAGTGCAAAGTTTCCTACTACTGCATTGAATGCACTGACTAGTTTGCAACAAACATGTTTTATGTGTTGTGTTTTGGATGTTAATTTTAAAGTAATATTAATAATTGTTGTTAATATAATGATATTGCAGTAAGGACAGAGTCCAATGGTTGCGGTGTGGTTATATTATAACAGTTCCAGAATGTTCTTGCCATTTTCACTAGTAATAAAATATATTTAAATCATTATGGCTTTTATGTTTTCATGTCTTAGGTAAAATACGACATGATATAGTGTGATATAGGTGTTTTTTTCTCCAAAAATGAGAGGTCTAGAACCTAAAATACACTCTCATGCTATCTAAAATCATAAATTAAGGATTAATAATTAATTTATTAATGTAAGATAGGCTATTTACATATTCTAAATAGATCTGTAGTTCAAAATATGGTATAGACACTTTTTATGAGGACTTTCTTGGACCGGATCAAATTTGACCCGGACCATACTGGGAAGGCATTGGATATGAACAGTTTGTAAAGGTTAAGCAGTGATATAATCTTGTGTTTACAATTTTCACCTACGATGGCCGTACTACTTGAATTTAAAACAATAATACCTTAAAAGTCCAGTGTGTAACATTTAGGAGCATCTAATGGTAGAAATGGAATATAGCATTTAACATAATTTTTAAAAAACACACAAAAATATAAAATAATGATCTTATTTCTTTTTCTTTGGCAAGTGAGCATGGTTATAAGCAGGATAATTCCCCTCGAGGTTTCCATAATCAGGAACTAATGGCCTCTATGTTGTCCAAAGATTCCTGATAATGGACACCTCGTCGGACATTATCCCTTCCATAATTTTCCCTCCTTTAAGGGTGGTTCCACAAGGTGAATTTAATGCAGTGTGGCAAAATGGCTCCATAGTTCCCCTCTAAAATTTCAATGTAGTAGCCTTGGCACCACGTTCCACCAGGATATACAAAAATTGGTAGGCACATGTATCATGACCTTCTGAAGCCATACCCAAAACCCCAGAGGAAGTCTGCCATTTTGAATTTTATAATAATTTTTGCATTTACAGGCTTTATATCTTTACAGCATCCTCCTTGACAATTGATCAGATTGACTTCAAATTTGGTCAATGCAGTCTTAAGACCTTCATGATGGAAAGTTGTACAATTCGTGACCTTTGGTTGAATGGGCATGTCCGTGGTGTGGTGTTGAATATTGATGTTTTGCTATTAACTAGGAAGTTGTCATAACTTCAGTGTACATAATCCAATCCGCTCCAAACTTCACAGTGGGAGTCCTACCCTGAACACATCTAAATAGCTAAAGTCATAGCATCACCTACTGGAAACAGGAAGTAAGCCTTCTATGGAAATCATCATCTGATTTAAATGATATTTTCACAGCGTGGTTTATACATTATGTGCTGGTGTATAACGTGTTGCTTTATTTTTGAAAGGTGTGTTCTTGTGTGTGCCTGTGTGTAGTTTTGGACTATGGAAGGTGGTGGCGAGGTTTACAGACAGCCCACAGCAGAGCTACACTGCAGAGTTTGAGGTCAAAGAATATGGTAAGTCCCTCCCAAATATCCCTTAAATGTATCTGGAATGTTTTTGAGCTGGGACTTATCTTCCAGATATAAGGAAGGAATCCAGATTTTTTGAAGTGATCACCGTAGACCTGATGATTGCTTTTTAACTGGGCACAATTTATTTAATACTATTACTATTATTACACAAAATTCAGAGGAAGCTAAAATTTACGTGGCAACATGGCTTGACCATGCCCCCTCAATGCAGCCCCCAAGGCACGTTTCACAGACCATCACAATTAAAAGTTGTGCTCTTGGTGACTGGTTAAATGGCTTGGCGTTGAATTTCATGTTTGGCCATGAAACAGGAAGTTGTTATAACTTGAGTGTACATGGTTCAATCTCCACCAAACCTCACATCTGATAAGTCCCACCCTGAACACATCTACATGCCAGTGTAAACAGTGTGTAAACACTGGTATAATCATTAAATTCATTACAATAAAACACATTACCATTAATCTGTCTCTGCCCAGACAAAAGTATTTTACTTTTACTAATTTTATCTATCTATCTATCTATCTATCTATCTATCTATCTATCTATCTATCTATCTATCTATCTATCTATCTATCTATCTATCTATCTATCTATCTATCTACAAACACACAAATAACTTTATCTTTCAGTGCTGCCCAGTTTTGAGGTGAAACTGATACCACAGAGCCCTTTCTTCTATGTGGACAGTGAAGAGCTCTCAGTGGACATCAAAGCTACGTATGTGAAGGTTTTTGTTTTGTGGCTCAGGAGGCCAGTTTTACAGTAATTGGTAAATTAATTGGAGGAGATAATAAAAAGTGATGGTCAGAGGTTGTGTTGGTGGTTAATTTAATTGTGGGCTTAAACATGTCCTTCTCTTATGGTTTTAGATATCTATTTGGTGAAGAGGTGAATGGTATGGCCTACGTGTTGTTTGGGGTTATACAAGAGGGCCAAAAGAATAGCTTTCCAAGTTCTCTACAGAATGTGCAGGTGAGCAATGTGCACATACTTACAATTTTACTGTATTTCTGGCCATCTCTATGCCCGCTGATTGGTCAAACTCTGGCGGACAAGAATTTAGATTTATAAAAGTCCCTCAAACTGTTCACTGACAGTATTTTAACAGGTTTTTTTGTATTATGTGACATTAGGTCTTAAGAGGTGAAGGAAAGGTCACACTGAAGAGAGAACACATCACAGACACTTTCAGAAACATCCAAGACCTGGTGAGGAGTTCCATATTTGTAGCTGTCAGAGTGCTGACGGAGAGCGGTAAGAAAAAGAGACTTTGTGTTTGTCGCTGTTCAGTATGTGTTTATGTGTGATTCACACTAATTCAGTAGCCCAAATAATCATATATTTATAAATAAATATAAATAAAGATGTATTATTTGTGTCCAAAATTTCCCAAACATAAATGAAATGTAAAAAAAAGAAAATGAAGCGATCTGTTTCAGTTAATCAAGTAGAAAGTGGTCAAAAAATAGTCTTGTAACCAGTTTGTATGTGAATGTGTTTTTGTTTCTGCACCAACTCACAGGTAGTGAAATGGTGGAGGCAGAGTTGAAAGATATCCAGATTGTAAATTCACCATACAGCATCCACTTCACGAAAACACCCAAATATTACAAACCAAGAATGTCCTTTGATGTTACGGTAAACACCTATTTAAGGAAAAAAATCCTTTACAGAATACATTTCAATACTGAAATACACTCATTTGAAACACTGAATTTCACACTCTTGAAAACACAGATTACAGTATAACATCAAAAATATATAATAATACTAACTTTTAATACTCCTTTAATAACTATAATTGATTAGTGCAATGCTTTTATAGAGTTTCATTATAATGCCAAGGCAAATTTTCACAAACGGACATGATATTGCAGAGAAAAAGAGAAATTATTTTAACAATTTGGCTCACTAGATCCTGTAATAAAAACATTAATTTGACAATTATTCATTTTAAAATGTGTTTCAATAAAACATCAGTGATGATAGTTTTGACAGCTGTTTGTGTCAATGATGGCAGGTTGAAGTTCTTAATCCTGATGGCTCTCCAGCAGAAGGTATTACAGTGGTAGTCAATCGTAGTCCGGAGGAGGGCCGCACTGGAGCCAATGGCATTGCAAGACTTACCATCAATACAGACGGAACAACTGGCAGACTGATAATCACCGTAAGTTCCTGAAATGTTTCAGCCTTTTTGCATTACTGTTTGCATTAATCACCTTTTTTGATATTCACTTGTTGAACTCAAATAGAGCTCACCCAGCTCAACAGGTCTGTGCAGATTTTTTGCTTAAGCTCACAGGTTCTGCTGCTCACACATTTATTGTACAGTATTAATGATAAAAATACTGTAGTCCTGCATGTTCAAACTAAATAGATACATTTTTCCAGACTTGGTGGATACCAAAACACAGCTTAAAGGAGCTAAAATTGGCCTTGAATTTGACAGGTGGCAATAAACAGGTCTCTAAATGAATGCTAATGTTGTTCTTTGATATCAAAGTAGACATTTCTTTTCCATTACTAACTAGTTTATTTGTAGTTTGAGTTGATGAATTGTGGATGTTAATTTCAAGTGCCTTAAAAAAAGAAACCACACTGACTTTTTACCTTAATTAAAGGGGAATTTGGCAACTATTTCAACTTAATAAACCTGTTTAGAAATCATTTGGATGGTTAAATGGTCTGTTCCGGTGTTAATGGTGACTTTCCCCGCTCCCCCTAGCGTCCCCAGGTGGAAAACCAACCTTGCAACTGCAACTGACTACCGTCCTGTTAAGTTGGAAATAGGAAGTATCGTGAGAAGCGAGAACGAGCAAGAAACACGAACTGCTGTACGGCAATTCCACATAAACGCAATGTTCTATGATACTGCGTATAATGTATTACCCACCTCGGTAGACATTGCTCCACACAAAAAAGTTGCCCAGCAACAAATGCACATCAGCAGCGGTAGAAAGGGGGAGGAGGGTGCCGCAAGTGAGGTTTTTACGACAGTGTTTTGAAATATACGTCCCAGAGCTGTAGGGGGAGCTCGTTGAGAAAACATGCGACGACAAAAGTGAAAACCAGCGAAGAAATGGCTAGAGTTGCCAAGTTCCCCTTTAAATGTCAACATTTCATGTAGCACTGAAATGAAATAATACTAGATTCAAAAACTTTGCATTTGGCAGTGATGGCCAGATTTGTGTTGTACTATTGAAAAACATTGTCAGTTCTTCTACAGTATTTGTCTTTTGTTATTATATTTATATTGATAGGCCAAGCTATACCAGGCAAGGCCCAAATAGAATAGGATAGACTTACTCTGTATTTAATTGTTTGTGTATGTTTACCTGTGTGTGTGTGTGTGTGTGTGTGTGTGTGTGTGTGTGTGTGTGTGTGTGTGTATGTGTGTGTGTGTGTCTTTAATTGCAGGCAAATACCGCTGATGATCGTATTACACCTGAAAGACAAGCATCAGCCACCATGGTAGCTCTCCCATATATCACCAAAAACAACAAGTACATCCACATAGGTGAGGAACATCCTGAAATAATAATTTAAAAAAGGGGGTTCATGGTGGTGGAAGTGTCAAAGTATGTGCCATTCACTAGATCTTTGCAGTGTCTGGTACTTAGCACAACGTGTCATTTTCGCAGGTGTGGATGGAGCAGAGGTGAAATTAGGACAAAGACGGAAAGTCAACTTCTACATACCCCCGATGGAAATTACACCATCTGACATGACATACCTGGTGAGGATCCCCGTACATGTGTGCTTTTTTGCACATGCATGGGTGTTTGCAATGCTTTCAACATTCGGTGTAGTACTCATGCTGGATAAGTGCTGATGTGTAAATCTGTGTCCCTAGATCTTGAGTAGAGGTCAGCTGGTGTCATATGGCCGTTACAAGACAGAACAACTGATTTCCATGATGGTTCCCATTACCAAAGAAATGCTGCCATCATTCCGCATCTTAGCCTACTACCATACAAATGACAATGAAGTGGTATCAGATTCTGTGTGGGTGGATGTCGAGGACTCCTGCATGGGCTCGGTGAGACACACAACACTGACAGAGTTTAAGTGGGCAAACAATACACACACACACACACACACACACACACACACACACACACACACACACACACACACACACACACAAAGGGATAAAGTTATCTGTATAATTCTAGGACATATTTTTATATATTTAACTACTTAACTACTTACAAAACTGCATAGCTCATTCATTGACCTCCCCCTCACATTTAGCTGAAGCTGGAACAATCGAGACCTGTTACATCGTATGAACCTCGTAAGAGGTTTCTTCTGAAGGTCACTGGAGACCCAGAAGCCACAGTGGGTCTGGTGGCAGTTGACAAAGGCGTCTACATTCTAAACAACAAGCACCGCCTCACACAGAAAAAGGTTATTTCTTTATTTCATATTTATCTTAAAACATATTTGAAAGAAGTTCATGTGAAAAAGTAGACTCATCTCTCTCCTTTGTCGCTTATTTATTTAGGTATTTACTTGTTAGGTTACCTGTTTAATTTGTACACCTTTTGGTTATTCATTTACATTAACCATGAATTCATTTCAGCCGGTAACGACTGTGCGCACTACTATCCCGGGTCTGTTTTGTGTTCAGCCTTATTTCTTTATAATCTTCAACATCCATCAATCAAGGTTACAGCAATAATGACAGGCAAAGGTTGTTTTTTTCAGTAATTTTTATTGTTCGTTTCATCATATATTTCGTTCGAATTTAGCACATATAAAGTGTAATTATTTCAGTATGTATCTTACCTGACGCCGAAAGCCAATGTGCCGGTTAAATGAATAAGATGTCCCAAGTTAACGGGGGAATAAGTTGTATATATAATTCTGTTTCGTTCTCATTTTATGAATGCTGGGGAATATTGAGTTGATGTTACATTCAAGCACCATAGGAAACTTGATTGATATAATGGGTAATGACGTTTATTGAAGCTTGTGTCTTGGTAAAAGATATCTCTAAATAATACCACCTGAAGTGAGGATGGTTTAATCCACGTGTAGTCTTCAGACAGGTAAGAAATGCATAAGGATCAGTTCTCTTGGGGGAAGCGAGAGGAAGGGGGAGAGATAGATTGCGGCTTAGACAAGTGCTGTTAATTTCAATCTAGTATGAGTTGATTTTTCCTCAGTTTTTTGTAAATATGTTTAGTTGTTTTTTTTTTGTTGCTTTTCACCTTTTGGGAAGCACTTGAATAAATGCCCACACAAAGGGACTTACACCACAACGTCCTGAGTCTGCCTCCTACTTTTGATCTACTCTGGTAACACCTATCTTACAGTTAAATTTATAAAAAATATTTCTAATTATTATTTGTTAGCCTGTTGCTTCAAGTAATATCTAATATACATTTGTCCTACAGCAAATACACTGCATGAGTCAATATTTGTAATGTCATATCAAAACTGTGAGTTTACTTGTTTAACTTATATCCTTGTTTGTTTGTATATCTGTGTGTTAATGACTTCCACTTTGCTCAGGTGTGGGACATTGTAGAGAAGTATGACACAGGCTGCACACCAGGTGGAGGAAAGGACAGCATGAGTGTGTTCTATGATGCTGGGCTGTTGTTCGAGTCCAGCACGGCCTCTGGGACTCCCTATAGACTAGGTGACACTACTTTACTCTTCCCTCCCCTGAACATACCCCTCTTTTGGCTATTGTCTCAAAGTGGGTGTAGAAGTTTGGGGTTTTCTTATTCATTATCACCAAACTTGTTTGGCTCTGTTAAAAACTAGTCTGTGTTGCATTTCCAGAATTGAAATGTCCAGCGCCCAGCAGGAGAAGAAGAAACACTATAATGGAGGTCACCACCAGTTTAGGTAAGAACCACGACTCTACCCAATAACCACATATTAAGTCATCTTCTGCCACATAGTTCAGGTTTTTTAAAATGTTTGAAGCTGGCCATCGTGTGTCTTTGACTTTCACAATACTCATGGAATATGAGAATATTTATGAATCTACCATATACTAAAAGTATATAAATTAAATAAATTATCATATAATAATCAAAATAGCAAGAATTATATCTGTGGATGATAAACTATGCAATTAATTGGGTAATGGTGATAGCAAGGAAATTATACTAACATTACTATATGACCTTACTAACAACTAATTAGGATATCTACATATATAGACATAAATTGTCTAGTGTTTTACCATTATTTCCTATTTAATCAGAACCAGTATTTTTTATATGAAATACTAGGTGTATCAGTGGCGAACCGTGAGCACTACAGCTGGGCCTTCACCTCAGCCATCACCGCCGAGAAAATAAATCATCGCGGAAAAAAGCAACAGTAGGATGAATTGAAAGGGTTTAACAAGTGCAATCCTTTAATTAACGATGACAGGGATGTAAACAAATAGACCATAACGTCAATAACATTCCCGCAACAAGAAACATTCTCAACATTAACTTCACAAAACTGCAGACCATTTAGGCTACATAGTTTAAATTAAGTAAACGTACTCTAAAGCCAAAATCTGGAAATATAAAATTAGGTCACCCAGAATGTCACCCCGTGACGCTGCTGACACAGACACCGAGGCTCATTTCATTACCATGGACAGCGCTATGAAATCACTGCGCATTACAAATCATTCACACATTGACAAATAAATTCATGAGCATCATCAATCTACAATACAATTTCAAAAGCACAATATGCCAAAAGTTACACAAAGCTGGTAATACGAAGACTATTTTTTTAAGTTGCAATGAAGTGCAAATGCCTCTCCATGCGCAATTACGCATGGCGCAATGAATACCTATGTCAAATAAATTGAAGTCACAATTTTTATTTATAGGTTCTACTATACCTCCTTAATTCTCCACAGGGAAAGGGACAGACAAGTGAGCATGGGGGGAACAAAAATCCTCTGAAAACAAAAATCCAACCACACACTTCTGATACGTTTGATACATTGATTGATTGATTACATATTGAATTAAAGACACAGGCGTACCTTACATGAAAACAAAGTCCATTCGTCGGGCTTTCTTTGTGAAGTGGGCGATGGCGGCGTCATGAAGTTTATCCTTTGATTTGAGCTCCAAAAGAAGTCCTTTCTCTATGGACATCAGTGCCAAAGCTCCCAGGCGATCCTGTCCAGTACTGTTTCTAGCGTGCGTCTTGATGCACTTCAGAGCCGAGAAAGACCACTCCACGGAGGAGGTTGACACGGGGATGGTCAGCACCAGGCAGGTGAGGTGATAAATTGAATAAATATAGGAAAAAAACCCATACAAAATAGGGTACTATGAACTCTTCAAGATATGATGGTGCCTGACCATGAAGAGCTTTGTAGGTGATGATTTTATATTCTATTCTGAATTTCAAAGGGAGCAAGTGCAGAGACGTTTTTGGGGCCAAGTCCAAGAAGTTTGGTTTTTAGTTTTTTGTGTTTAACATAAGAAAATTACAGGTACTCCTGGTTTCTAAGTTCTTTAGGCAGTTATTATAATTTAGCTAATTGATTAATTTCATCTGGCTAGAAGATATAACTAAGTATCCTCTGCATAACAAATAAAGTTGTTTGACTCCTAATAATGTTGCCTGAAGGAAGCATATATAAGGTGAATAGAATTGGTCTAAGCACAAAACCTTGTGGAACTCCATGACTAACTTTAACTGCATTTAAAAAGAGATAGTTGAGTGGCTTTGACTGGTGTTCCTTTGGTTCCTTTTTGTACTGTAGGTTTTGTACTGCTAAGACATAAAGTCCAGTTGTGGCTGTAAATGTAATACTTGGTAAGGTACAGCTTCCTTGACCCTTTCTAAGTTTGTTTGTGACAGATTGTTGCATGAGTGGTGGCTAGACACTCGCCATACATTGTGGTCTAAGTTGTTGATAGTCATACTGTTTTAACCTTTATTTAGCATCTTTAGAACTGTGCAGTGCAAAAAGAGCTGCCCATAAGTGTGCTGCCCGGTGCATTCTTTACTTGGAATAAAGACTGGTGCCTTTCCTGCACTGAGGGTTCAGCAGTCTGTTGCTGAAGGAGGTGCTCAGAGACCCCACAGTCTCATGCAGGGGGTGGGAGGTGTTGTCCATGTTTGATGTCACCGTGGCTAATATCCTACTCTATGGAGTCTAGAGGGCAGGTCAAAAATAGCCCTCCTAACCAGTTTGTTCAGTCTCTTTCAGTCTCTCTCTGTGCTTCCAGCTCCTCAACAGACTACTGCATTCAGGATGGCAGATGCCACCACAGTGTTGTAGAAAGATTTTAACAGTGTCCTGCACACACTGAAGGACCTCAGTCTCTTTAGCAGGTAGAGACGACTTTGGCCCTTCTTGTACAGGACATCTGTCGTTAGACCAGTCCACTTTATTGTTGGGATGAACTCCATAAATCACTGAAGCCAGAGGACATCAGAGGGAAAACCAGAAAATATCTTCTCCATAAATTGTGATCCAGTTTCACCAAAATCAGTGAATAAAGTTATAAACATTGGGTACTTTTGTACAGTAACCAGTGAGGCTGTGGCTCAGGAGGAAGAGCGGGTCGTCCACTAATCAGAAGGTTGGCAGTTCAATCCCTGGCTCCTCCTGCTGCATGTCAAAGTGTCCTTGAGCAATATACTGAACCCCAAATTGCTTCTGATCCTATGCATCAGTGTATGAATGTGAATGACAGGATTAGTTTCTGCTTGTGATGGCCTTTGCCATCGAATGTGTGTGAATGGGTGAATGTGACATGTAATGTAAAAGCGCTTTGAGTGGTTGGAAGACTAGAAAGGCGCTCTATAAGTACAGTGTATCCTGCTTTGGCACTGTCTATCAAGAAGCTGTGAATATTTTCGCCACTTCGCCATGCTGTCAGAAAGTCCTTTCCGACAGTGAACTGAAGCCATTATATCCATCTATGCTCTCTTCAAAGGCACCAGACTGTCATTGGGGTTTTACCATGTCAGTTTCGTCACCAAAGTCACACAATAACACAAACTAATGAACCAAATGTAGACTAACAACTCCCATTTTTTCCTTTTAGGTAAGATTACTCTTTTTATTGGAGTCTGGTGGGTTTGAAAAGAGCCATGTTCTGTTTCCCATCAAAAAGTCTTTCAGTTCAGTTGAAAAATCTTTCCTCTTCTTTTCGTAAGAATAATGTCCAACGTATGCTTTGATTTTCTGTGTGTATCTTCTTCTCTAATAATGTTCAAACTTGCGCACCACAGACTTTCTATCTCATCCATTCTGCTTTTTAGTTTCATGCGTCAGCAGAATCACGTGACTGAAAACAAGCTATTACTTGGGTCACTGAATGAGCCCAAGCTGACCTCCTAATTACATGAGTGATGCTGTCCTGGGCCTATTACACTTTATACTTTACTTCCTTAATATGTCAGTCTGTTTCTCCATACTGCTACTTTTATTGCAAGTCTTGTGCAGGTTTCTCAGTTTCTTTCAAGGGTCGAAGGATAGAGGGCAAAATAACAACAATTTCTCTTTCAATTTTTTCTTATTTTAGAATGCTTAATTTACAACTTACCCTTCTTCTTGTACTTTATACCATCTTACCTCTGTCTCTCCTCCTCAACTGTCTTTCTTTCCAGTGAGTCAATATAAAGACCAACTGCAACGTGACTGTTGTTTGGATGGCATAAAGGACATTCCTGTTTCATACACCTGTGAGAGGCGCAGTGAGTACATCACAGACGGTGCAGCTTGTGTCGAGGCCTTCCTGCATTGTTGTAAGGAGATGGAAAGCCAGCGAGCTGAGAGGAAGGAGGACAACCTCCAACTGGCTCGCAGTAAGAGACAGAGACATGGGATGGAGGGAAGGCTGGGTGGTAACTATCCATGGTTATGCTGGTATAGAAAACAGTAAAAATGGTAACCATTTTATTACACTTTAGGTGACAGCAGTTACATGAACATCCGTGAAATTGTTCTTCGCACAAAATTCCCTGAAAGTTGGCTGTGGAAAGATATCAAACTGCCTGCTTGCCAAACACCAAACTGGTGAGTCAACTAAAACCTATACACACAAATAAATACACTGACAACTGCATTAATAACACCACCAGAATTTAAAGTTACACTTAACCTCTCAGATTGTAACACTTTTCTTTGTTTCAGTGACACCACATCAGTTGTGGAAAATGTTGCTTTGCAAGATTCAATCACAACCTGGCAGTTCACTGGCATTAGTCTGTCAAGAACTCACGGTGAGGATTCAATGAATAAAGTCTTCAGTTTTAGTTGTATGTCTATAAAGTCTCCATCCACTCCTTACACATTTTTTCTATCTCTGTTTCATCACATGTATTTTGTATCCATCACATCCTTAAGGAATCTGTGTCGGCAATCCATTAGAGATCATTGTCCGCAAGGACTTCTTCATTGATCTCAGACTTCCCTATTCTGCTGTCCGGGGAGAGCAGATAGAAATTAAGGCAATCCTCCACAACTACAGCCCTGATCTTATCACTGTAAGTCTGTGGCACTCTGCTCTGGTGTTTCAGGCCAGAGCCATGAATGAATGAAATCCTTTTTTCACTGTTTGATAAGTCTAATAGCTCCTCATATGGTAGAGGAGAAGTGGGGCAAACTTTTTGTAATATTTACAATTCGCTTTTCCATTCAAATTAATCCTCTAGACAAGATGTAAAGCATTACATTTCTTCAAATTCGGAATGCACTGTTGTTAGGTGACCTAAAATAGAATTGATGTTCAAGATCCTTACTATCCACTCCATGGGGGTGATCAAGTACGCATACTTCAATCTATTTCTCCATCTTTGTCTTGTTGTCAAGGTGCGTGTGGATCTGATTGAGGAGGAACATGTGTGCAGTGCAGCTCATAGGCGTGGGAAGTATCGTCAGGAGGTTAAAGTTGGGGACCTAACTACACGATCTGTATCCTTCATCATTATTCCCATGAAGGAAGGAAAATATCCTATTACGGTCAAAGCAGCTGTTAAAGACTCATCGCTCAATGATGGAATCATGAAGATGCTGCGGGTGGTGGTAAGAGAAACACAGTAGTAAACTTGACATTTATTTTCCAGCCGCAATGATGTTCTACGTGTAGCCACTTGCTTAAGAATAAAATTAAGTCATATTCAACAAGTCCTCCAAATTAAACACGTAGACACACGTAGCTACTTTGCAACAAGGTACTTATGTTGATAAATCATCCAAAGGCCATTGCAGTGCCTATATATACAGAAGGGTGAGAAATTAAAGAAAAACCTGAATGAATGAGTAGAGAAACATGACAAATGCAGATGCATTCATACAGGAAAAGGACAAGATTGATGGGAATGAAAATGTTGTGAATCAGTTGAAGAGGTTTGTGTTGGTTTTTCTTTTAAATTGTCACCCATCTTTGTGTCTATGATACTGAAGGGCAGGAGGGAGTGGCTGAATGTAAATTGCAAATTTATAATTTATGTTTTCTATATAAGATAAACAGAATATTTTACCAATGTTTGTCCTTACTGTTGTTTTTCCAGTCTGAAGGTGTTATGACGAAATCATCTAAGATTATAATTATGGACCCAACTAATAAAGGTGTAGGTGAGTTCACCCATTAAATAGCTACATTATGTGGTAATTTAATAATATGAATTTATCACTTGTCCCCAACCTTCCCACTGTTTCTCCCTTTAGGTGGTACACAGAAAGAAATAATCAGCAGTAACATTCTGAAGAAAGATATGGTTCTAAATTCACCTACTAACACAGAAATCTCTGTGACAGGTGAGATATAATGAATATAGACATCTTATGCAGTGCTGTAGTACTCGAGTCTGAGTCTGATTTTGGACACTGTCTTGGAGTCCAGTAATATATCTATATCTATATCTATATCTATATATACATATATATCTATATGTATATATATATATATAGATATATATATAGTGACTTGGACTTAAACCTCTTTGGACTTGACCAGTTGTGGTCTTGGACTCAACAAAGGTGGTCAAAATCAATTCTGCAGTATTGTTCTTATTGGGAAATGACTACCTCACCGGTTGTGGGGGACCTTTACATGATTTTTTTGTTGTTTCTTCTGGTTGGTTTATAATGTCTTGTTTGTGTGTGTGCATATAGGAAGAGAACAAGTATCTCCACTGGAAAACGCCATTAGTGGTAACTCAATGGGTAGTTTGATCTTCCAGCCTTGGGGCTGTGGAGAGCAGAATCTGGCCCGCATGACCCTGCCTGTCATTGCAACCATATATTTGGACCAAACCAACCAGTGGGAAGCTGTGGGTTTTGACAAACGCAAGGAAGCCCTCCAACACATAAAAACTGGTAGGCCGGATGTATCATCCTCTGTTTGGAATTGGTAAATTTTCTGACTTGGCAGGAGTTTCATATAAAAAGACAGTATGATAGACAGCAATGCACGGTACCCCTGCCTCAATCCATGTGAGTGACACTGAGAATAAATAAGTTCAATACAAGACAGACACATAGACTACAGCCATTTTCAACATAATTATATTATTAAAAACAAAAACCTATGCCAGCAGGAAAGATGCTATAATCACAGACAAAATATGTAAAAGGTCTCCCCAAACTTGCATCAAATGGATAAGATTCAGTAGAGTGATGAATGGCAGTCAATTAAGAGGTTGTGTGTTTTGTTTGTGTCCAGGCTATGAGAACGAGCTTGCTTACCGTAAAAATGATGGGTCTTTTACTGTGTTTCAAGGCGATCAAAGTAGCACCTGGTGAGACACCCTAACATCCATGAACTCCTCTAACTTAGATCTAAAGGATGTATTTCACTTAGAAATTAAACTATATGATTACACTTTTCTCCTATCTAAGGTTGACAGCGTATGTTGCCAAGGTGTTTGCCATGGCCAAAGATCTGGTGGCAGTGCAAAACCACATCATCTGTGACGCTGTCAAGTTTCTGATTCTCAATGCACAGCAACCTGACGGCATGTTTAGAGAAGATGGATATGTGTTCAGTAGTGCAATGCGAGTGTGTGCACTGTTTTCATTTACAAAAATAGCAAATAAAGATGAAAACAATTACATGTCACTCATTATCATCTTATATGAATAAAAACACGTTTGTGTGTGTGTGCATGTTTAGGCTGGTACAGATTCAGATGCCTCCATGACGGCCTTCTGCCTTATTGCTATGCAGGAGTCACGCACAATATGCGATCAATCTGTAAATGTGAGTATATCAACTTTGTACATTGTTTTTTCTTTTTCTTTACTGGCTGACTGACACTGACACTGTACCAATGAAGCAACTAACCATTTTCTAAGCCCCACCACCGCAACACATAATGCAGTTTCCATGGTTGTAGGTAAGGGTTCATATTTGTGTAAGTGTGAAATGATACGGCCTTGTTTGTGATGGTCACAGGATTGTGTAGCGAGGCACCAAAAGAGAGAGAGAGAGACAGACATACAGACCAATAGAGGTAAGGTTGAATTGTAGATTAAACCTGAAGCAGCGTAAGGTTTGAAATATTTACAGTGTAAATAATGGACAGAGCATCCAGGTCATTCAGTACATCCGTACAGTGCACCGCACAAAACTGTAACTGGGCAGTGCTGATCAAATGTGAATTAAGATTATGTTACTGCATTGCCTATTTTTACCCTAAAATTGTTTCAGAAACATATTTAACATTTTGTGTTGCTGCTTAGCTGACAAACCACACAAAACACTTCTCCACACTTACAGTCATGTGAAAAAATTAGGACACCCTATGAAAACATGTGTTTTTTAACATATTTAGACATATGGATATTTAATATCAATTTTAACAATACTGAGATTCAAGTAATATTACTAAACAAGTAAAACTGAAGAAAATACTTTTTAAAACTCTCTGTAAAATATAATAAAATAAACATGCAATTTCTGGTGAGGAATAAATTAGGACACCCCCACATTTTGTCCCACTTAAAATGACTGAAATCACACACAGGTGTATCACATCAGGTGCACATGATTAGAACATTGTTACTCAGCATTTTGAAGGAGCCTTGCTCTATTTAAACCTCAGACATTCAGTTTGCTGTTGACGTGAGAGTGAACACCATGGTGAGACCGAAAGACCTGTCTGAGGCCTTCAGAAAGAAGATTGTTGCAGCTTAGTGTGGTAAGGGATTTAAAGAGATCTCAAAAGAGTTTGAAATCAACCATTCCACTGTCCGGAAAATAGTGTACAAGTGGAGGATATTCAAAACAACTGCCAACATGCCCAGGTCTGGCCGTCCAAGCAAGTTCACCCCGAGAGCAGACCGCAAGATGCTAAAAGAAGTCTCCAAAATCCCTAAAATGTCATCACGGGACCTACAGCACGTTCTGGCGACTGTTGATGTGAAAGTGCATGCCTCTACAATCCGACTGCACAAGTTTAATTTTCACAGGAGGTGTGCAAGGAGGAAACCTTTACTCTCCAAGAGAAACATTAAGGCCAGACTGAAGTTTACCAGAGAGAACGTAGACAAAGAACAGGACTTCTGGAATAATGTTCTTTGGACAGATGAGTCTAACATTGAATTATTTGGACACCAGAACAGAGGACATGTTTGGCGCACACCAAATACAGCATTCCAGGAAAATAACCTCATATCAACTGTGAAGCATGGAGGTGGCAGTAAACACCACTGTATGGTGTCAGAGAACAAAGCCATGAAAGGACAAACATTTTTTTACAGTAATTTAAAAGACTTATGCACCCAAAAGCTGAAGTATTCACACTAACTAATGCATGCGGCTCACTATAGATAATAAGATACAAGAGAGCACAATCCATTAGCCATCGTCTGACAGTAATTTAGCCACATGGAGAAATGCCAGTGTGATAAAGCCAGGATATACAGATAACCAATTTCTGAAACAAGACTTTCTCTGAGTTTCAGTAAGCAATTTGATACGTGATAATAACACATTTCACCTTATTACAACGGAAACCACGATGTTTCCAATACCAAAATCTTGGTCCTTTGCCTACTGATATGTAATTATAGATTAGAAAGGAGACAATCCACTGTCGGCTATTGTCCCAAGATCAAATGTTAAAACATTCTTGATCATAATTTAAAATATATGCATTACAGTTATGTGACTGTTCCCTCTTTATTTTCCTTTCTCCTTCCTCTCTTTTCCTTCCCTCCAGAGTCTGCAAGGCAGTATAGACAAAGCAGTGGGCTACCTGGAGACGCGTCTGCCCAACCTCATCTACTCATATGCTGTTGCCATTACATCATATGCCCTGGCCAATGAAAACAAACTCAACCAGAAGATCCTCTACAAGTTTGCTTCCTCAGGTGTTGCTCACAGCAATATTCTTCAACTAATATTCAGAAACATATAGGTGTAGAAATTCAAAAACATTACACATCCATTAATAATTCCTATAATAGGTTTACCAGAGCCGAGCAACACATTGGTATGGTCCATATAATAGGGTGATTTTCGCTCAGTACAGAAATGCAAAAATGTGTTGTTGTTTTTTTTTCTTATTATTCTTTAACACACGTGGATAAGGAGTATTTACAAAAAAAATTATATAGGTTGACATGTCCGACAATCTTGAGACCACCTCAACTAATACTAACATGGAAACCTATTCACATTCTGATGGGGACCCACAGCTCATCACATGACACACAAATAAATGAGAAAAAAATTATAAATGCATGATAAGGGACCTTCTTTTATCAGAAAGGAATATAGCACAATCATGACAATATTCCTATCTGCACTTTCTTTTGGGGAAATCTCCTTGTGATACTCCTTGTGTTTTTTTCATCATTATTTTTTATTACAAGTAGAAAAATGGGAACAACAATTGCATAAATGTGTTCCTCAGACTTGTCCCACTGGCCAGTACTGGGGAATAAAGGATATACACTGGAGGCCACAGCTTACGCTCTTCTTGCTCTGGTCAAAGCAGAGGTGAGCATGTCCCACTTGTCATGTAACAGAAAACATACAACAGTCATCATTCATGTTGCTCCACTAATATGCTAGTGGGTTTGGAAACAAAAGTAAGTGAAATGTGTGCCACTGCCTCAAAATGTGTCTTATAAAAAAGTTTTAAACTTTAAATAACCATATTTCTCTATTTGATTGGCATCACTTTCTGGGGAAATTTCTGATTATACATAGACATACATATGTAATTGAAGCCTTTAGTAACAAGAGTTGAAATTACTTAAAAGCTGAGTTATAAAAACAAGGGACAGATTTGAACATCCTTCAGCACTTCATAATCACACAGTAATGACACAAATTTGACAAAAACAAAAACAGACTTGATGTTCCTTGTGATTGATTGCTTGTATCAGGCAACTTTCGAGTAGTCTGCAGTCTGATTGTGCCATCCTTCAAAATTACTTTAGCAGTTCTATGGTAGGCTTTGGAAACTGGTAGTTTGTATAACTGCAACAGAATCAGGACTTTCAAGTTATTTTAAAAATTAAAGTCAACCACAGACAATTTCAAAAGTTTACTTTCCTTCTGTTGATAAAGGCCTTTGAAGAAGCCACACCTGTGGTCAGATGGTTCAACCAACAGCAGAACGTGGGCGGAGGCTTTGGATCAACTCAGGTAACACAGACTGCTCTCTACATCTTGATACAGTTTTTTACCACTACCAGTTTTCAGTGCAGTTCCACATATTTTTGGTTTATAACCTATTTATATAATAACCTATTTTTTCTCTTCTTCTCTCCAGGCTACTATAATCGTGTACCAGGCTGTATCTGAGTACTGGGCCAATGCTAAAGAACCAGAGTATGATCTTAAAGTGGACATCTTGTTGCCAGGCAGGTCAAAGCCTGACAAATTTGTTGTCAATAGTGAAAACCACTTTACCACAAGGACATCTAGAGTGAGAACACACACAAACACACAGTGGCTCATTAATGTCATCACTGCTGTTCCTCTCTGCATCTTTCCTCTGCTGATAAGTGCATCTGTGTACATATCTGTGTATATATTCACTTTCCCACAGATGAAAGTTATAAACCAGAATGTGACAGTGACTGCTAGTGGCACAGGAGAAGCAACAGTCAAAGTAAGTAAAATATGCACACATCTTAGGGTTGGAGAGAGAGAGAGAGAGAGAGAGAGAGAGAGAGAGAGAGAGATGCTTTGAGCCAGCCCTTACTCTTAAATGTGGAGAGGGAGTCTGCCTTGCGAACCCAAACTGGAAGCTGATTCCCCAGGAGAGTTTAAAGGGAGCCAGTGCAGAGAAGCTAATACAGGAGAAATATGATTTTTCTAGTTCCTGTCAGTACTCGAGCTGCAGTGTTCTGAATTAATTGTAGCATCTTAATGGACTTATTGGGGCAACCTGATAATAAGGAGTTGTAGTAATCCAGCCTAGAAGTAACAAATTCATGGATTAGTCTTTCTGCATCTGCCTGTGACAGGATGTGTCTAATTTTTGTAATGTTATGTAAGTGAAAAAAGGCAGCCCTAGAGGTTTGCTTTATGTGGGAATTAAAGGACATATCTTGAATAAGAGAACTCCAAGATTCCTGACAGTGGTGCTGGAGGCCAAGGTTTGGGGCAAGAACTTCAGTTTTGTCTGAGTTTAACATCAGAAAATTGCCGGACATCCAGATTTTTATGTCCTTAAGACATGCTTGTAATTTATATAGTTGATTATTTTCATCAGGCTTGATTGATATAGCTGGGTATCATCTCCATAACAACAAGAGTTAATGGACTGATCCCTAATAATGTTGCCTAAGGGAAACATATATATATATATATATATATATATATAAGGTGAATAGAATTGGTCCAAGTACAGAACCTTGTGGAACTCCATGACTAACTTTAGGGTTTATGGAGGATTCATCGTTAACATGTACAAACTGAGAACAGTCTGATAAATAGGACTTAAACCAGCTTAGTGCGATTCCTTTAATGCCAATTAGATGCTCATGTCTCTGTAATAGAATATGATGGTCAATGGTGTCAAATGCAGCACTAAGATCTAAATAATACAAGTACAGAGACAAGTCCATTGTTGGAAGCAATTAAAAGATCATTATTAACTTTCACCAATGCTGTGTCTGTGCTGTGATGAACTCTAAATCCTGACTAAAAATCCTCAAATGAGATGTTGCTATGTAGAAAGTCACAAAACTGCGACTACTTTCTCAAGACTTTTAGAGAGAAAGGGGAGGTTAGAAATGGGTCTATAGTTGGCTAAAACCCCTGGGTCAAGAGTGGGCTTTTTAAGAAGGGATTTAATTACAGCTACTTTAAAGGACTGTGGTACATAGCCTGATAATAAAGAAACATTGATCATGTCTAGTAAAGAAGTGCCAACTTGATAGCAGAAAAGTAGAAGAAATAACTTCACAAAAACGAATACTTAGAAATATGTATATCGTTACTTACCTCGCTACAAACACGCTCCTCTTGCTTCATGCCTCTCCTATCTGCCAGAACCCACTGTGTCTTTGTCTTCCCGGAGTCATAGTCCAGGTTGAAGCAGTTGTAAATCTGTCAGTGTCAAAGGCTGTGTTCGGTCCCAGCCGTAGTCACAGGGAGGCTGCTGAGCCCGGCTTTGTTGACTGCTTGCTTTGATGCTGTGGTGCCCCTGGCCCCGAGCCTGAAAACCTCCTCTTCTCAGCAGTCCAAAACTCCTATACTAGCGGTATAAACAAACCTCCCCTTTGAGCTCGCAGTCCGGGTACAGTCAGCTAACAGGACTGCTAACTAGCTAGTGGCGGGCGCTAGTACAGTTAGCACATGTAGCAGTGCAATGGTAACTTCCTGTATTACAGAGTTATTACAAGAGTGTTGCAACAATCCCTTGATGCTGTTGTCCTGGTGACAAGGCATCGTATATATTTTATTTAAGATGCACTTTTCTGTTTGACAGATGGTGTCGCTGTATTACGCTCTGCCTAAAGAAAAGGAAAACTACTGTCAGGAGTTTAACTTGTCTGTGGAGCTCAGACCAGGTAATTTGTCTTTGTTCGTTGTCATTTTATCTGTTTGTCTGCTTGTTTGTTGTTTGCTTATCTGTTTTTTTCCTGCTCTCTATCCATCTTCCTGCCAAGTATTTTTCTTTCATAATAAAATGGAAATAACAATTGTTTTTGATTTTTTTTTATCCTGCAGAAAGTGATGGGAAAACATACAAGCTGACACTAAAAGTTTTGTAAGTATAATCAAAAAGTCATACTAACAAGTATTAGTGTGACACCATTTTTCCTCCTGGGCCCACCGTACACCCTCCCACCCCCAAGAGAGATACAATTACAAATGTAAAAGGAATAACTACCGTCACACTAATGGCACCAGTTATAACAAGACTTTAAGGCACCAGAGGGGAAAAACAAACAAGCAACAACAACAAGACTTAGTTGCCACTACCAGGCAAGGTAACTCAGCCCAGAAGGCACAAACCAAACACTGGCTGCAGATAGGGGCATTCTGTTTTTTCGTGTTTTTTGACAGAGTTGTGATCTGCAATTACATTGCTAGATGCCACTCAATCCTAACCATATTTTATATTTTTAGGTAAATTGACGAAATTGTAAATTCACTAAGTGAATATATTTTATGGATATTTCATATTTATTTCATAACAACAATTGCTTTTGATCAGACTATTTCCTTTGAATATTGTATCACAGATGAGTGTTCCTTATATATTTTTTTGCTATGCTATTCTCTTTCTGTGGTATGAATTTTTTTAAATTTCTAACTATCATACATATTTTGGCTTCTTTTTGACCAACTCAGTGTTTTCTTCTCCCTGATGTTGTTTGATTAGTTCTTAACTGCATTCTTTTCAGTTCAGGACAAGGCTGTTTGTCAAAGAGTAAAGGTTGTGAATATTGTTATGTTTGATAGAGGTGTGGACCCAAATGCAAGACAGATTCAGAGTGAAGTTAAGTTGGTTTTATTCCAGAAAAATATGATGGAGAAGATGATGAGAGGGTTGAGGAGATGGCTTACTGAAGATGGCAGGCAGGCAGGCAGGCAGGTGAGGACCAGTCTGAGGATAGATGGATGTCGAGGTGTAAACTCCCATTGTAGACTGAATGATCTGGTAAAGAGTAGATTGAGAACCAGAGTAGACATACTGTTTTGTAGATGAGTTAGTTGAAGGCAGGTAAGCAGACTGATAGAGTTGGTGAATTGAATGCAGATAGATGTGGAGCAGAGCTGCAATCAGGAAGGAAAACAATGCCCACAAAACACAGACACAGACAGGAGACACAGGGGAAAGGGAAACACAAGAAATTTTGTTTTGAGGCTGAGCTCCTATATACAGAGCAGACAGCCAGCCGCAGTGGAGACACTGAACCCGATAAAGTGAATGAAGTTGACGACAACACGAGTAAAATGTAGAAAAAGTAGTACAGCAATATTTTCAACTGCTTTGTCTGCAATTTGCTTTACAGAACCACAACATGTTTGGTAAACTAATAGCAAATCGTTTTGCTGTATTGTTGTCAGAGAAACAAAATGAACATGCAGTATTTTTTGCTTCATACCAACACTCCCCAGTGCTCTGCCAGTGTTTTTCTGCCAGAAAAAAATCCCTCTTTCTCTCTTTGACAGTGCAGACTTTCTTCTTCTTTGTCAAAACAAGTCAGTTTTTAATTGTCCTGCCCTCCTTGTCCATAAGTTCTTTGTTATTCACTCCTATTTCACACTTTCATCAGAAAAATATGATGGTGCAAACTTCTTCAGCGTTCTTTTGAATGAGCTTTCACACCCATTTAAGCTAATAGGAGCTGCCCATTCCCACTACTTTGAATTGCTTTTGAAACCATCTTAGAGGACATTTGATTTGACATTTGATAAAAAAGCTTAACTTTCTTTCTTTACATCTTCTTTATACTGTTATTTGAATTATTGAGGTATTATTATCTGTCAATGTTTTGTACAGGTTTAAGGACACACGGCGTATTGCAACCATGTCAATTTTGGATATTGGCTTGTTAACTGGCTTCACCGCTAACACAAATGACCTTAACTTAGTAAGAACCTTTAATGATACCCACATACCCACATACTGTACAGTTCAAAAGCCATGTGTTTTATGGTTTAGAAAATTATATGACTGTGTGTGTGTATAGTTATCCAAAGGACCTGCCCGCATCATTGCAAGATATGAGTTAGACTCAGCCCTGTCAGAAGGAAGTTCAGTCACCATCTACCTGAACAAGGTAAGACAGCACTTTCTTCCTCTTCCCTTTTCTCTCTCCCTTGTTCTTTATTTTGTTATCTCTATCTCACATTTGTTTTACATCTCTCCACAGGTTTCTAACGTACAACCAGAGGAGATCACATTTAGGATCCATCAGCAGATGAGTGTGGGCGTCTTACAACCAGCTGCTGTGTCTGTCTATGAATACAATAACCGTGAGTCTGAGAGAAGCTTAGCAACATACAGTAATTCCAGATTTTTTTCTTTGCTGCCAATAGATGTCAAAGTAGATAACACAATTCATCAAAAGCTTTTCAAAGTATTTAATGTACATTATCTGATGGACTGGAATCATTTCAAAACATTTTTTTGAATTTCTTTCTTGTTGCAGCAACACCTTGTGTGAAGTTCTACCATCCAGAGAGGAGAGCTGGACAGCTACTGCAGCTCTGTAGAAATGATGTATGCAGAGAATGTGCTGAAGGTAAACAGGATGATTTCTAACTGACACCCTCATCTGTCTATTTTAAACACACATTTGTTACATCTGAAACAACATTGTGCTTAATAGAGGTCATCGACCTGCTGGTTGTGCTAGAGGAAAATTCAGGACATCAAAGTAATTAAAATTCATGTTAACTCTAGCATATATCATGAAAATCAATCAAATTGTTTTTTCAGCTTTTTCAGTTGGTTCAAATAGCATGGCTAAAAATGATGGTAAAACCATGCATCACCAGAATTACTCTCTCTGGCTTTATAAATCTCCCTTCAGAGCTACTGAGAAAAATATACCACCATAGTCTCAGGGTAATTAGTAGTCTATTCCTTGTTACAGGTAAACTAATCTTACCACCGGTAAAGTGTCTATTTAAAATCTGGTGAAGGAGATGGTCGGGGAATTAGTTCTACAGTAAATCAGCGGATTGTAACATAAACATCAGAACTTTCTGTCAGCGGCAACAAGCCCGGCAGGATCCTGTACAATCAGAGCAACAATCAGAGTCACTAACATACTTACATTGTGACTTAGATACACCTGCTCTCATCCATCAACTAATCCATGCACACTGATGCATCCACATGAGCTTATTTTTAATCATGTCATCAGTTGTATATTACTGTTCCTATTGTGTACTTCCAGAGAACTGCAGTATGCAGAAGAAGGGCAACATCGACAACGATGATCGCACAGCTAAGGCCTGTGAGAGTACTGAGACCAACAAAATAGATTTTGGTAAGAGACTGCAACTTGACTGCATTTATGTTGTGCTTTTATCCAGAACAATTACTGTGTATGTTTGTGAGAGTAAGAGATCGAAAGAATAAGTAGGTTATGGAGCAAGTAAGCTAACAATCTGCAAATTGACTGTCCTCAGTGTACAAAGTGGAGCTGCAGAAGTTTGAAGATGGTTTGTCCACTGACGTTTACACAATGCGAGTACTGAAAGTCATCAAAGAAGGTTGGTATTTTTTGCCTCTTTCTGACATTTTATGGGCACTTTGTATCTAAATGGCGTTTCCAGTTAGACATTAAAATGATTGCCCATTTAAAGGGGAAGTCTGACATTTTGGGAAACACCACTTACCCCCTTTCTTGCAGATAGTTAGATGAGAAGATTAAAAAACCACTCACATAATTATATACTAAATATGAAGCTATGACTAGCAGCTAGCTAACTTAGCTTGCATCGTCAGGCAACCAGTGGATACTCTGGGAATTTACTGGCCAAGAAATAGTCCAGTATGTAACCCTGCATAAAAAGGGGAAATGTTTTTACATTTAGTTTTTTCGTATGCATTAAATAAACAAGATTAGAGGTGATGGTAAGTGAATTTTATTACCTTTGGAGAGAGTCAGTCTTAAAGCTAAACTAAGTTGTCTGGCTGTAGCTCCATATTTACTGACTTGTTGAACTATTCCTTTAAAGGGACATTGTGTAGGAATTTCTCCCATCTAGCTGTGAAATTGTATTTTGCATTCAAACGAATTGTGCTCTCTAGTGCCTCGCGGTTTCAAATGCGTATTGCAACTACGGTAGCTGTTATGTACCAAGTAGCCTACCTGTCGAGGAGAAAGCAGGCAACTTCAGCGTCCCTTTGAAAGTCTTTCTCCTTCATTAGCTCTTTCCACCTGGGAAAAGCTACCCTGATGTTTTCCCTCGTTTTTTGAATTCGCCGGTCACGTTGCCTTTTTAATTCCCTTTTTTGGCGCCGAGGATTCATTCTCCTGTGGCTCGGCATAAGTATGATCCTCCATTATGAACTAAAGTGCAGTGCAGACTTTCAAATGTGCTGGGGCAGTGACAAGCGCCTCTCACTGATCTCATTCTCCGTTATAGCTGGTTTCAGTCACGTGACGCTGGCTCTGAACGAAAACGTGTTGTGGATTAGCTAGACAGGTAGGCTAGTGCTTTATGTCCCTCTCGGCGATTATAGTTTTTCAAAATGGCGGAACGACATGGAAGCCTCCATGGACTTGCCCTTCCAATGTATATACAGATAAGAAATTCTTTGCTTACGAGGATAAGTCAGATCATTGGCAGAGGTAATTTTACACCAATGAGGACACATTTATGAATGAAGACATTGATTTTAGCTAATAAAATAGTTAAAACACTACACAATGTCCCTTTAAGCAACTCCACTGGGAATATACGATAATACAACAGTAATGTTTTGTCTAGCACCTTTAACTATGCATTTAAAATACCTTCTCTCTCTCCTACCATATATTTTATTTACAGGAACTACTGATGTGGGTCCTCGGGGTAAACAGCGCACATTCCTCAGTCCTATGCACTGCAGGCAGGCTTTAGATCTGAGAGAAGGCAAAACCTACCTTATAATGGGAACGTCCAAAGATATTAAGCACGATGATCAAGATCAGTTGTAAGTTTGTTTTTTGAGTGAATGTGAATGTGCATGTGTGTGGTGTGTGTAGCCCTCATAATATTGTCTCCATCTAAACATTTTAACTGCTTTCTGAATCAAGTTCACCTTTCTTGTACTCTAGTTTATGCGTTACTTTTGCTATTGATAGAGCAATTAAATGTACAGTTTTTTGTAGGAAGGAGGGGATTAGGCTTTTTCTGTTCCGGCGTGTTACAGATAGCTGGCCACATGAAGACTCAATGTATTTCATACTTTGCTCTCCTCAGATATCTGTATGTGCTCGGTGAGAGAACCTGGATCGAGTACTGGCCCTCAGAAGCAGAGTGTCAAACTGAGGAATATGGAAATACCTGTAGGGGCCTAGAGGCGCTGGAACAGGGGTATGGACTCTTTGGATGTCAGCAGTAGTAAATTTAAGGAAATCAAATGTTTCTTTTCGAATAATCTTTACTATGCATTGTTCTTATGATATAAAACTTCTACTGTTTTAAGATATAGGGGCTGCAAAAGTTACAATATTACACTGCATTGATTAAAATGTAATGGTCTTAATCTCATTGTCTTTGTTTTATGTACAAATTAACTTTTGGTTAATGTAGAAACTTCCAAATAGTTCAATAGTATCACTGTTATATTGATTACTGTATTCTAAGCTTTGATGAGTTCAACTCAAAGTTGAAGTTAATATGTAATAAACTTTGACAATGTTGAAGTCAGTGGACTGATGTATGGGAAGTTCAGCAGTATAAAATGAAATAACTTTCAAAACTCAAAAGCTCTGAATTTTGTCAGCAGTTCCTGTGATGGAAACGCAGCTACATGAGTCTCAAGTTTTGCCTACCTCACGTTCTAATACCTTTCTTTGTCATCTGTGATGTGAAAACATAGTTCCATAGCTCATATAAAATATAAAAACCCAGCGCACCACAGAGCATCTCTCCTGCCGTGCTGCTGATAGCACTGTCAGTCGAAGAGTCAATCACAGTGCATGACAGCAGAGTTGTATCACTGTCTGGTGCTGTCTGTCACTGACAGTCAGTACCGGAGCAGAGAGCGTCAAATGCTGGTGGTTATATTGGCTAAATTTGTTTAGCAAGAAAATCACAAAAACTTTATTTATATGTGAAATATGCAGGAGCATGATGCAATATGTGCAGTATAGCCTCAAACAAAATTTAAATGAACAAATTCAAATTGAACTTGTTTTAATTCTCTCGGCATATCGCAAAAACGTATGTTCTGATTAGAATTAGATCTCCACCAAGTGTGTCTGGGGAAAAAAAAAACTGCAGCTCTTATGTTGGTGTTCCCGGTCTGCAGTGGTCAGTATCTATCAAAAGTGCTCCAAGGAAGGAAAAGCGGTGAACCAGAGACATGGTCCTGGGGGGTCAAGGCTAACTGATGCACATGGCGAGTGAAGTCTGTGTGGTCTGATCCAACAGATGAGCTGTACTGTACTGTACTACTGTTAAGCCCCTCTCCAGTGGCTCCATGTGGCTTTGACAAAAAATTATATGGAATTGACTAAGGTAATTTTTTATTATATTACATTTTAATTTATCGTTGTTGTGGGCCTAAAGTGATTCTTGCTTTGTCCAGTATTTTGATATTTAGATTTTTATAGATCTTTATTTTAGTGTATTAATATTATTTTTATTATATGTAGTTAATTAATTTAATTAATGTTATATTATTATTCAAATGTATTCTTCCAAGTATGATAATACTTAAAAAAGTCACACATCCCCTTTACATATGGTATTGTTTTTTTCCAAAAGTTGCAGGATGTACACACAGGCACACAGCACTGCGAATGTGAAGAGATGTAGGCTACGGCTTGGAATGAAATTAAAATTTGTTATAAACAATTGGTTAATTTGAGAAATGTCCTGTACTATAGAGTGCTTTTCAGGGTAGTTGGCTTCCACCTAAAGTGAGTAGGCATCCCTCAGTTTGCCTGGTGCACAAAAGGTCTCTTAACTTCAGGATTGTGTTCGCTGTACATTACTCTGTGTTTTGTTTTAAGGAGAAACAATTAGGACAAACAAGGAGAAACAATTAACATAAACATCTTTAACAATGCTGTGTGCATTCATATGCTAATTTATTGAGGTACAACTCTGAGATTGGCTTTCATTGCTCTTCAATAGATCCTGAGGCTCAGTGGCTCATTGAGATCTGAAGAGACAACTTCAGTTACACTCAAAAAACTCTCTCCTCTGTAGTACAGAGCACAGAGTGTAGAACAGTGTTTCTGGACAGCTGCTTTTGACATAATAACTGGGGGAGTTAGGAGCTGGACCTTCTATGTGGATAGGTCTGGTTTGATGGTTCTCAGCTTTAAAAAACTGAAAGATAATGACACAGGAAGAGCATATATCCATGCCATGGTAGTGATGGTGGTGAGGGTGTTAGGCATGGTAGTGATTAAAAATAGTTTTTATTTAATTTATAAATAATTTTAAATTTCATTTCAGCACATTTTTCTTGCTAACGTCTGAGTATAATGTGAAATACTCTAACCTGTGTGGGCTTGTTAAATACATATTGTAGTGATAATGTAGTGAGTGAAATTATGTGAAAATGCATAGTTTTTAGTCAAATTACATTAAATGTGTGTGTGTGTGTATGTATGTATAAATGAATGAAAAAACTGAGGATCCAGCTCCAGAGGAACTATAGTGTGAACAGAGAGAGGATTGAGCCCCCATCAGTGCTGAAGTGGAACAGAAAAACTACTGAGTTCTCCTAAAGTGACAATATGAACACAAGTCCCTTTTCTGCTGGTCCACTTATTGGTCCAAGAGGACTGAGTTTGGTTCATTTAAAAAGGACTATATGTGAAAACACTCTTTAAGGATGTTGAAAGACAATATATGTATAACAGGTTATAACATAAGACATATTTACCTTACACCATTAGCAACAGTCCTCTGCTATGGCTTGGTGGACATCACAACCATATCACAGACCCAGCCTGGCATCATACCCTGTTATTAATAGAAATAACTGAAATGGTCATGGGGCATACTGTAAAAACAAATAGCAAATCTTTTTTTAAATATCATTTTATAGTGCACACATGTTGCACTCCTTTCCTGTCTATCTTTGGCTATCCGATCTAATAAAGGCAAAAAGCCCCCAAAAATATATTGAAACAATAAAAATAAAAAAATACTGGCACCAGGAAATTGACCCCAGACTGGTGGCGTGGAGTTTGCTTGACAAACAGTCTTTCCAACAGTCTAGTTACACCTAAGAAAACAAGGTCACAGCGACAGGTGTCTGAAGCTCTTACTATAATGTCTTCTTCCCCCTCAAAAAACAAGGCCAGTCAGCACCAGTTTCTAATGTAGCATTTCTCAAGAAGCTGAAACATCCCTGAACCTCCTCACATGCTTGGTAAAGCAGGTAAAAAGCCAGGGTTAGGTTTAATTATTAGAGAGAAAAGGCCTTGTTTAAAAGGCTGTTATTTATCAGGACAATCTGCTTGCTAGTGTGGCCTACTTTCATTATTACTAATCAAACAAACGTTGTTTATATCAAATAGTAGGACTCTAAAACTAAGATACACTATGTCTGATCTGGCTGAACTAGGGCTTATCAAAAGCGGAAAAAAAAAAAAAAAAAGAATGACTTATCCAGAATAAAGATTTAGAGTACACATCTATTTTTTCCATTAGTTACACATTTTAATGGCACATGTGGAAAGAATTAACAAGCAGATACAGTAGTGTTTGATGTGAACTCTAAAATGGTAAGAAATCTGAGGTCAAACTAGATAGAATAAATTGTGCAATTGTGCAAAAACCTGGCAAGATATAGCCAGGTTACTGATTTGAAGGTTTACTGTCCAGTCTCTGTTTCTTATTGATAGTCCACAAAATGTGCACTCTCACAATGACTGTGAATTAAAATGCTGATATTAAATAGCCTATCAACAGGAGTGAAATTACTAAATTAAAGAGGGCGTCTATCAACACCTCTAAAGCTCACAAATTAGCACATATTTTGTTTGTCCGTATCAATACAATAACTGAAGTGTACATCGAGCTGCAAGCAGCATGGAACAGGGTCCAGGCAGGTTGTGACAAAAAGCTCTCGAAAACACATTGGCTACCTAAGGATTTGAACTCTTGATGTTTGTAGTTCAGTAAATGCTGAAATGTAATTTTAAACACACACTTGATTAACAAAATAATTTATATTTTTATTGTTTCTGTATTTACATTCTTAATATTAATTCTAAAACAACCTTTTTATGTTTGAAGTCTAAATTCAATCACTTAAATTGTTCTTTACCAATGATTCATTATTATCTTTAGTAAATAACTGCTGGGAAAAGTCACACCATGCCACTGTGTTCCATCAAACATTTGGTGAAAAAGAAAATGTCAATTCAGTTTCAGGCCGATTGGCCCAGTGGTTTCAGAGGAGATGACAAAAATATTTTTTTGAGAAAATTGAGAAGTCAAAAAAATATTTTTGATATGTTTTCTTGCTTATCGGCGAATGGAAGAAGACGACGAGGAAGAAGAAGACGACGAGGAAGAAGAAGAAGAAGAAGAAGAAGAAGAAGAAAAAACAAATACTACTGGGTTCCAGCAGCGTTGCTGCTTTGACCCCTACCATCTGGTTTTATGGGGGCTAAGCTAAGGGGTCTCTTGGCTTTTGTCCTATATTAAGGGTAAACATAATAATGATATTAAACTTATCATCTTACCCTCAGCAAGAAATATACGTACTTCCCAAACAAACTATTCTTGTAAGTATTAAAAAAAAAAAAAGTACAGTATTGAAACAAACTGTAGTCACAGTAGATGTAATTGTCATAATCTGCCTCTCTGTCCATCTCTTCAGTGACTATACCCTTTCCACAGACTCCTGCAATGTAGTTCTCCATCCATCCACCAGATGCCCTCAGATATTCCTGCCCGTCCCAGTCAACTGACTCACATTTACCTGCTCACTAGTGATGGGAATTCCGGCTCTTTTTAGAGAACCGGCTCCTTTGGCTCGGCTCACTAAAAAGAGCCGGCTCTTTCGGCTCCCAAGTGGCTCCTCATATTTTATTTTGCTTAAATTAATTTATTACCAAATTATGTGTAAAATGAATATCTAATGTAAATACATGCATTATATCAAATGTTTAGTATTTATATGGATTATTAATACACTCAACATGGAACAGTGCTACAAAAAAAATTATAAAACACAAGAACAAAGACTCAATTTAATTCTTAATTAGACAAAAAGCTGCTTGATATGAAATGTTTAACTTTGCACAGTGTACACTCTGCCTTTGAACTATCACATTAAAATGTGTCCAAACTTTACTAGGTTTCTCATTTTCCTCACCCTTTCCAGTGTGTAGTCTCTGTCTATGTAGCGCCAAGGTCTCTCGCTCTCACGTCTCCCTCCCACCTGTTCACGTGCTGACTGTGCCATGTGTGTCTGTAACCCCTCCCTCCCCCTCCTGCTCAGTGTAGATACACAGATGCCGCCACACATCTTGACCAATCACGCGGCTTTAAGAGGAAAAAACGGGAAAATCTGGAAAAAAAATTCGGATCTGGCTCCCAATCAGGAGCCGGCTCCCGTCGTTCACTTCAAAGAGCCGGCTCTTAGAGCCGGATCGTTCGCGACCGACCCATCACTACTGCTCACCTGCTTCTAGTTCACCCCATCAGGCCTGCAGTGTGTATCTGACCCATTTCCTTTTATTCCCTGCCAGGTTGTTAATTGCTTCTTGCCTTGCTTTCCAGTCATATGAACCTGTACCTGAGCCCTAATCTGTACCTGCCTGCCTGTACCTCTTACCTGCCCCATTCCTTAAAAGCTATGGCAAAATCTGTTGACATGTTGACCCACTTTTACTGGCTAATATCTGTTTGCCTTTATCACCATTCATCCATTTATCCACCATTTTGTAATTGAAGTTATCTACCTAAAAAATGTAAGGCTTACTTAATACATTTTTATCATTTAAAAACAACTTTATTTATGATTTTGTGTGTTTATTGTATGTTTAGTATGAAAATGTTCAAATATGTAATATTGTATTTTTTACCTGAAGGATTCAGCATATTGTAAATGGATAATTACTCATTCTACAAATAATATTTCAGTATATCTGGGATACCGTGGTTATGTAGGGGTTAATGAGGTGGCCATGAACGCAACATCCTTGGTTTGCATTTGGGCCAAGAAATAAAAAAATACTTTTAATCTGATCCATCTTTTAGTAAATCCAGTCACTCCATTGACAGTCAAAAGATGAACAACGTACATTACAACACACAGAAATTACTCAACACGATTTTCCCCCCACTAGTTGTCTGTGTTTGCGCATGTTCAGTACAATACATTTGATTGTAAATACACTGACTCAACAGGCTCACAATAGGAATTGTGAAATTTCAAATTTCCTAAACAAGACAAAGACAGAAAAAAACAAAGTTGTCATTTTGAAACACATCATAAAGGTGTAATGGCTGTTTTTCTGTTCTGCAGTTAGCTGTATGCTTAGAAGTTAGGTAAACAATAATTGATTTTCTGCTGTTTATCTATTTCCTCAGAGCAGAGATAATGGACAGTTTCTCAATTGCTGCTGGGAAATCATGTGTTAGTATGTTTGTGTTTCCAAATGTGTAACACTATGGGAGGAGGATGTGTGAGGCAGTAGCGAGGTGAAGTGGAGATGCAGGAGGGAGGAGAGTGGATATAAGGAGGGTGCTGCAGAGTGACAGTCTACATTGACAGCAGATCAGGCAGAAGGATGAGTAGGACTCTGTTGTGGCTTGTGGCCTCTCTGGCCTTTGCCTCGCTCACTTCTCTGGCTGATGGAGCTCCATTGTGAGTATAATAATATATATTGTTTGTTTGTGCTACCTGTTTTTCAAATTGTTATTAGTTAAACTGTAACAGGAGGAGCAACAATATCAGGGGTTCTCTACATGTTTACATCAAGTGTGTGGCTACATTAATTTAACTCCCATGTAATCACCTGTGTCTTACAAACTGAGGAACTGCAGTCCGGTTTACAGTGTGTGTCAGATAAGTTAAGATAATGTAGTTTTATACAGAATGCCAGTAAATTGGTTGAATTTAGTTCAGAGTTTGCACAGTGATACATTACAACAGACACAGCAAACAGAGTCTAGAGTCATGATGAAATGTTGTATTGATCCAGTGCTGGATCTTAATCAAGATAATAGGTCACTGATTGTCTGTCCAAGCTGTTCATGGTCCTCTTCTGAGCAAATTCCGGTTTGATAATTTGGGGGAATTGAAACTTTAACGGACAGACCCTCTCAACCTGGGGACCCAAGACCCACCAAAGGATACCAAGATAAACCTAAGGGGTCACACAATAAGCCAGGAATTCAAATGAACACCATTGGCCAATGCTCACTATGGCCAATACCTGTGAAAAAACTTTTTTTCATTTAAAAGGAGTCACACACAAACCAGGGAACTACTTCTCAAGAGATCCACTCTTAAAACCCTCTATTATTATGTATGTGTTTATAGTGCCTAAAATAAATACATTAAGAACATATCATCAGTGCATCCTAAACAGCATGTTTCTGCTCAGTGAAGACTGATTTTCCATTATTTCTCTTTCTCTCTGTTTCTCTCGTCTTGCTGCTCTGCAGGCAGGTGATGTCTGCCCCCAACTTGTTGCGGGTAGGAACACCAGAAAACATCTTTGTGGAGTGTCAAGACTGCACAGGAGTAGACATCAGGGTCGATATCAAAGTGATGAATCATCCAACCAAAACCAAAGAACTGGCAACCACATCTGTGACCCTCACTACAGCAAACAACTTCCAGGAGTTTGGACAATTAATGGTAAATGAAATACTGTATAATATGTACAGTATGTGTTACTGGCTTCATTTTCTATCATGACCACCAACAAGAGGTCTAGAATCCATAAATGTACATGTTATAACCTGTCAGACCCCGTTCTGCTCTACATGCACTGCCTGTGTCTCTACATGCTGGTTTCAGATCCCTGCTGGTGACTTCAGCAAAGATCCCAACATTAAACAGTATGTGTACCTGCAAGCTCGGTTCCCTGACCGACTGCTGGAGAAAGTCGTCTTAGTGTCCTTCCAGTCTGGGTATATCTTCATCCAGACTGACAAGACCCTCTATACCCCCAACAGCAAAGGTGAGTTCAATGCTTCATCACTGCTGAAAAAACTCTCCTACTTCTCTGAGAAGGTGTCTCAATATGTAAGAAAAGATATTACAATAGGAATTGTACACCACTATCTATTTGACATGGACATTTTCCATTTTTTAAAATGAATGATTGACAGTAAAATGCAGTAAAATTCACCCTTATTTTGACATAAGTTGTTTAACAGTCACATACCTCAAAATAGATCTTCCTTCACCAGCAAAATGAACCTCTTTCTCTGTGTCAGTTTATTACAGGATGTTTGCACTGTCACCCCGTATGGAGCCTGTAGAGAGGGACCCTGAGACCCAAGCTGACGCTTCTATTGCCATTGATATTGTGGTATTGTATTTTATCTTTGATAAACACAAAATAAATGTCATTTTATATAATCAGCTGTAACTCGGTACATCAAACCTTCCGTTAGTAGACAGTAGACAGGGCTTACACAAAATGACCCATATATTGTGAGACTGGGGAATTTCAAACACTTAATGAATACTGTTTATTTTTAGACCCCTGAAGACATAATTTTACCACTTGATCCGGTCTCTCTGAAATCAGGGATCCACTCTGGACATTACCAACTTGGTGAAATTGTGAGGTAAGTATTTTATAATGTTAATAAAATGTTCCACTTTGTATTTACGTTTTGTTATTTATAGAGAATTTAAAGTGAATTGAATCCAAAACATACCTCAATATTTTAAAATGCAAAGTACATTTTAACATGTTTATGTTGAATTTAATTTTCAGATTGTTAGTTTAGTGTTTTGACTACAATTAAAAAAACAATTCATACAGTGTATAAAGTGTGAAGACACTGAATCCTTCGAGACTTTTCAGTTGATTCATTCCGGCCAACAGATGAATTAATGAATAAATATTGATTGAGGCTCATTTATTTAATGAGATGGTTTTCCACTGTTTTCCTGTATGCATGAGCATCGTTATCTCTGACGAGAGTTAACAACGGTCACACTCAGTTACAAGTTAGCACATTCATTCACAACATGTTAAATATTGGTTAAGCAGAACTCAATGGGAAAGGACACATTCACTTGAAGGAGTTGTGAACAGTTTGTCTGACTGTATTAGTGATATAATCAAAAACAGTAGTAATATATCTTCAATTTGATTGCTGTAATTCAAAAATATCAATTTTGATAAAATTACATCTTGGTATTTCAGTTTATCACGTAACTATGAGACAGCGATAGTATAGTAAACTATACCAGCTTAATTCCCAACTTCAGTGTTTCTCTAGATAATGCTCTGTGTAGGACAGTATTAACTTCAAGTTCTCTGCATCAGCTCATTTGTATATATCATTATTATTAAGATAAATTACTTCATGCAGTTGGAAGTGTGATTCCTGAGCTACCTTCAGTCTCTGAATGTTATGAATATTTAAATGTTTTGCTTGATTATTGAAACATTCGTTCTTGTTTGTGTAGTCCCGGACTGTGGAAGGTGGTGGCGAAGTTTCAGAGCAACCCGCAGCAGAGCTACTATGCAGAATTTGAGGTCAAAGAATATGGTAAGTTCCTCATTAACTGCACTGTTAAAATCTATATAAATATTATATTCACTTACTGCTGAACTCATAGAACACACCAAAACATTTATTTAATTTTTCAGTGCTGCCCAGTTTTGAGGTGAAACTGATACCTGTGAGCTCCTTCTTCTATGTGGACAGTGAAGAGCTCACAGTCAACATCAAAGCTACGTATGTGAAGGTTTTTGTTTTGTGGTTTAAGAGATTAGGATTGATTGCTACATTGATTGGAGGAAAAATGAAGGATGTTGTCAAGAGGTTGTGTTGAGGTTCTTCCTATTTAAGTCATTCCTTGTTGTTGTTACATCCTGTTTTTATTTGTCGCGACTTACTTAATTGTGGGCTTAAACATTAAACCTTTTCTTGTGGTTTCAGGTATCTGTTTGGTGAAGAGGTGAATGGTATGGCCTACGTGGTATTTGGGGTTATACAAGAGGGCAAAAAGAAGAGCTTTCCAAGCTCTCTTCAGAGAGTGCAGGTGAGCACTATGTCTGTCAGTTGATTGGTCATTCTGTCTTAAACAGTATGTGTTGTACAGCTTGGCCTTTAGCAGTGCTACAAAAACACATCTCTGGAAGACTCTAAAACATGAAAAATGTCTAAGATTTCCTGGTATTATTATATCTGCAATTGTTTGAGTTAAATTGTTACATTCAAATCCACAGATATTAATTTATTAATTATTATTTAGGATGTTCAGAATAAAGCCAAGCGGACATAAGAATTTATACATTGAGTGTCTATGGTCACATTAGGTCGAGAGAGGTGAAGGAGTGGTCACACTGAAGAGAGAGCACATCACAAAGTCTGTCACAAACATCCAAGACCTGGTGGGGAGTTCCATATTTGTATCTGTCAGTGTGCTGACGGAGAGCGGTAAGGAAGAGAGACTTTGTGTTTGAACCTGTTCAGTACGTGTTTATGTGTGTGTGTGTGTGTGTGTGAATGTGTTTTTGTTTCTGCATCAACTCACAGGTGGTGAAATGGTGGAGGCAGAGTTGAAAGGTATCCAGATTGTAACATCACCGTACAGAATCCATTTCACGAAAACACCCAAATACTTTAAACCAGGAATGTCCTTCGATGTTGCGGTAAAGCACTTATTTACATTTACATAAATTGACAGAAAAAGTATATTTCTACTACAATAAAAGTTCCTTTATAGAAAACATTTTTACAGTCACAAATGACAGAAAAGCCTCCAAAATATAAGTCTCCGCTGTTTAATGCTTCTTTTAATAACTTTAACTGATTAGTGAAATGTTTTGATGGATTTTCATTTTGATAGGCAGATATTTATCCTCCATTCAGGAGTATAAATATAGACAGTACAGTACAGTAAGCGGGCCCTCCAACAATGTGTCGGGCAGAGAACAGGCCCTTACAAGAGATTCGGACTGCCACCTCGTTAATGCGCCTGTGTTCAAAGAAGAGCTGGCATTAAAATAAAACCTGTGCCATTTTCTATATATGTCCCCAGAAAGGTAAACCCATCTCTGTCATGGTTTTCTTATTATTTTTCTTTTTTTTGGGGTGGGGGGATAAAACAGTAACTTGTATGTTGATGTTATTTGATGTATTTGATGTCCCATGTCAAGTCTCTGTTGGTATACAGTAGGTTGTTTACGTGCAAAATCTGTCAAGACTGACAAGATGAGCACATCTGCAAGCAGTTAGGGCCCGTCATAATAGCATGCACTGGGGCCCATCGCAAGTGACTTGGTCCATCTAAGTCATAATACTTAGATATACTACTACTATACTAGAATACTACAGCTTGTGCAATTTACGGCAATAGCATTAGTTAAAATGTAAAAAATATGTGTTTTAATGGAACATATGTTTTCTGATAGTTCTGCTGTTTGTGTCTCTGATGGCAGGTTGAAGTTCTAAATCCTGATGACACTCCTGCACAAGGTATTACAGTGGTAGTTGACCCTGGCCAAGTGATGGGCTTGACTGCTCCCAATGGCATGGCAAGGCTTACCATCAACACAGACACACAGACTACAAAACTGACAGTCACCGTAAGTCTTTTTTTAACCTTTTTTCTATGCATTGGAGCTCATTTTGCCAGTGGACGCTATCACCCAACGCTGCAGGTCTATGCAGATTTTTCGCTTCCTTACCTCTTTGTTATGGTTCAGCTGCTCAAACATTTACAGTGCAGCATGTGAGCATTTTCAAGTCAAAGAGCAATATCTTTCTAAACAGTCGATTGATATCCTGAACAGAGGAGAGTGAATACTGGACTTGAATCTGTCAGGTGGCTATAAACAGGACTCTAAATTAATGCTAATGCTGTTACTTTTGACAACCTGTTAGCCATACCAACTTCATAAGCGAATGATACAATAACAGTACAGGACAGTGACTTTAGGGGGTATGGCCTGTCGGTTTTAACACCAGCATATAATTCACTTTAAAACACATTTTAGGGTGAAGTTCCTCTTTAAGAAACTAACCTAGGTTTATCTTTAGTCAGTGCCATTAGTTACTTGAAAGTGCTTTAACTTTTTAACATACTCAATTTAATGGAAACATTTAATACGGCACTGAAATGAACAATGTAGCGTACCATAGTCTACAGACAAGTTGAATTTGGCAACAAAGCTTTTTGTTATTCTATGTTTGGTTATTATGTGAAAATCAATGTCAGTTTCTCAGTGTTTTATGACTATTATGAGATTTTATATTGCTAGGTCAAGCTATACCAGGCAAGGTGATTTTTTGGTATTTAACTGTTCGAGTATGTTTGTCTGTTTCTTTAATTGTAGGCAAAGACCAGAGATCCTCGTATTACTATACCTGAAAGACAAGCATCAGCCTCCATGGATGCTGTCCCATATGAATCCAGAAACAAAAACTACATCCACATAGGTGAGAAACATCCTAAAATAACATCAGATGGTCAAAAAAAAAAAGGTGGCAGTGGCAAAGTGTGTGCCATGTACTACATCTTTTCAGTGTCTAGCATTCATCACAACATCTCCTTTTTGCAGGTGTGGATGCAGCTGAGCTCAATTTAGGAGAAAACCTGAAAATCAACCTCAACCTCAAGCAGCAAGGCCAAAACAATGACATCACATACCTGGTGAGAGAGGTTTTACACCTGCATATATATAACTATTTTTGTTGTGACCCACAGGTTGGGTGGTATATTTTCATTATAAGTGCTGATGTGTACATTTGTGTGCCCAGATCTTGAGCAGAGGTCAGCTGGTGAAATATAACCGTTACAGGACAAGACCAGGCCAAGTACTGATTTCTCTGTCAGTTCTCATTACCAAAGAAATGCTGCCATCGTTCCGCATCTTAGCCTACTACCATACAAATGACAATGAAGTGGTATCAGACTCTGTGTGGGTGGATGTCAAGGACTCCTGCATGGGCTCGGTGAGACACACAACACTGATGTAGCAGAAAGAGAGCAAATAATAATAATAACAACAATAATAATAATAATATAAAATGTTTTGTATATTTCAACTACTTTAACCAGTACAAAACTGCATGGCTCATTTATTGACCTCCCCCTCACATTTAGCTGAAGCTGGAACCATCGAGACCCGCTGCATCGTATGAACCTCGCAAAATGTTTGGTCTGAAGGTCACTGGAGACCGAGAGGCTACAGTGGGTCTGGTGGCAGTAGACAAAGGGGTCTACGTCCTAAACAACAAGCACCGCCTCACACAGAAAAAGGTCAGCTTTTTTTAAAAGTTAATTTTTAGTTAGCCTGTTGCTTCAAATAATATCTTTAATAAATTTGTCCTACAGCAAATACACTGTATGAGTAAATATTTGTAATGTCATGTCACAACTTTTCAAACTGTTATTTGAGTTTAGTTGTTTAACCTATATCCTTGTTTGTTTGTATATCTGTGTCTGAATGACTTCTACTTTGCTCAGGTGTGGGACATTGTAGAGAAGTATGACACAGGCTGCACACCAGGTGGAGGAAGGAATGGTATGGGTGTGTTCTACGATGCTGGGCTGATGTTCGAGTCCAGCACGGCCTCTGGGACTCCCTACAGACAAGGTGACACTGCTTTACTCTTCCCTAGTTAGGAGTGGATGGGTGTAGAAGTTTGGCGTTCTCTTTTTTATTACCATCATTTGAGTGCTTTTTAAGGTGTAAGCATCTAGTGTACAGTAGACGAAATGCTTTTTAAAGGGTAATTTCACCAAAATTACTTCATGCCATGCAGAGTTTCTGAGACATTGTTTCTGAAATTACTTTTTGCTGTACAGTTCTTACATGTAATGTGTTTCTTTGAGGTGTAAGCACCACAATTAAAGTTCCATTCACCACCTTTGTTGTCTCAGGAACAGATCATCTTAAAGTTTGAGCAACAAAACACAAAATTATCTGCCAAATACCACTGCGGGTATGTTTTTGGTTCAGTTAGATCTATTAAAGCGATCTATTATACTTTCAGTATAAATTTCAGTGAGATGTGAGTGTAGATCAATTGTCTCACCCCCACACCATGTCCATGCATCAAACCAGCCCATTTTTTTTTTACTTTAAGAGTATCACATCAATTATACCATGCAGAAATTAAGTCTAAGTACAACCTTGTAGGATTCTGTTAAACATCTTGTCTGTTTTGCATTTACAGAAATGAAATGTCCTCAGGCCCCAAGCAGGAGGAAACGAACCACTACTATAATGGATGTCACCACCAGTTTAAGTAAGAACATGATGCAAACTACAGGGGAGCCAGGTGGAGCTGGGCTCCCCTTAATAAGACATGAGCTCACCTAAGAACATGATTTGTTCCTCCCGGAACAGTAGAAAAAGTTAGTTCCACCAAAAGCCATGGTATAGTTTCAGTAACTCTAAAACTACCCAATAACCACATATTAAGTAATCTTCTGCCACACAGTTCAGGCTCTCCAAAATGTTTGTTATTGACTTTAACAATTCTCACCATACTATGTATTAATAAACAGATAAAGCTGGAACTCTTTACTTTGTAGTTTATTTACATAATATGTCAATTTCTTTACTTCATACTGATATTTTTATATACTGGAGGGAGATGGATCCCTCCTTTCTTGCCCTTCAGGAGGTTTCATTGTTTCTTTCTTCCATTTAAGAGTCTTTCCCTATTCAAATCAACTGGGTAAGAATAAAGGGCATTTAAATAAAAAATAACAAATTGAGTTAACTTTTAGAATTTCTAATTCTAATTTGCCTGTTTTTTATAATGCTTTATTTACAACTTTCGAGTTCATCCTTTGTCTTGTATTCTATGCCTTCTTACCTCTGTATCTCTTCCTCAACTGTCTTTCTTTTCAGTCAATCATTATGAAGACCAACTGCAACGTGACTGTTGTTTGGATGGCATAAAGGACACTACTGTTTCATACACTTGTGAGAGGCGCAGCGAGTACATAGTGGACGGGGCAGCTTGTGTCGAGGCCTTCCTGTACTGCTGCAAGCAGATGGAAAACCAGCGAGCTGACAGGAAAGAGGACAACCTCCAACTGGCTCGCAGTAAGAGACATGGTCATACTGGTAGTACAGTCACTGCCTCCCAATGAAAAATAATAACTTATTTAATGACACCTTAGGTGAGGATGACAACAGTTACATGGACAGCAATGAAATTGTTTCTCGCACAAACTTCCCTGAAAGTTGGCTGTGGACAGATATCAAACTGCCTGCTTGCCCTCGACAAACACCAAACTGGTGAGTCAACTAAAACATATACACACAAAAAAAAATACACTGATAACTTCATTAATAACATCACAAAAATGTAAAGCTACCCTTTACCTCTCGGAGTCTAACACTTTTCTATGTTTCAGTGACACCACATCATTTGTGAAAAATGTTCCTTTGCAAGACTCAATCACAACCTGGCAGTTTACTGGCATTAGTCTGTCAAGAACTCACGGTGAGGATTCAATGATTAAAGTCTGTCTTCAGTTTTAGTTTTATGTCTAAAAGTTGACATCCATTCCTTACACATTGTTTCTATCTGTTTCATCACTTGTTTTTTGTATCCATCACATCCTTAAGGAATCTGTGTCGGTAATCCGTTAGAGGTCATTGTCCGCAAGGACTTCTTCATTGATCTCAGACTTCCCTACTCTGCTGTCCGAGGAGAGCAGCTAGAAATTAAGGCAATCCTCCACAACTACAGCCCAGATCCTATCACCGTAAGTCTGAAGGAACTGTGAAACTGGGGCAAACTTTCTGCAATATCTGCAATATTTAAATTCGCTTTTCCATTCACATTGATCTTCTAGAAGATTGTAAAGCATCACATTTCTTGTAATGTTACAACTTGGGATACATCATTGTTAGGCAACCTAAAATAAAACTGATGTTAAAGATCCTTTCTATTCACTCCGTGTGAGGTCATCATCTTTGATCAAGTACACATACCTCAGTCTCTTTCTCCATCTTTGTCTTGTTGTCAAGGTGCGTGTGGATCTGATTGAGGAGGAACATGTGTGCAGCTCAGCTCATAAGCGTGGAAAGTATCGTCAGGAGGTTAAAGTTGGGGCCCTAACTACACGATCTGTACCCTTCATCATTATTCCCATGAAGGAAGGACAATATCGCATTGAGGTCAAAGCAGCTGTTAAAGACTCATCGCTCAATGACGGAATCATGAAGATGCTGCGGGTGGTGGTAAGAGAAACACAGTAGTGGGTTTATAGCTTTTTCTACCATATCAGAACTCAAGAAAGACATAGAAGCACGTTCTGATCTGATCTCCCTGTCGGCAGGACGATGCCATTTGTCTGTGCTGTACAAAATCTTGCCAAATATGATTATTAAAATTATCAATTTTATGGTGTGACAATGCTATGATTAAGTGTAAGTTAGGTTAAAGTACAAAACAATATTGGTTAGGTTAAGGGAAAGTTCCAAGTTCTATGTTTTAATGTACATTAAAATACTATGCTATGATGAACATGTTTTTCCATACAAAAAATGACAAGGGGCTGGAAACTCTTTCTTTGACAAATTCTGGATATATGAATACCCTGCCCACCACTACTTGCTAGGTTGACGGATGAAAGAGCAGGTAGCATCAAGATGGCTAGCATTAGAGAAAACATGAAATTCATCCATAGCCTATATGTTTGAGCCTCAGTCAGACTCAGATGAGGAGACTGTTGGTGAGTAGTGTAATTAGCATCTTTTATAAGATTTTTGTTAGCTTGTAACTGGCAGTAGCTGACACAAGGTCAATGGTTGTGAGCCATGTAAAATCTGCTATGATGTTACAGTGTGTGCACATTGTCATATTGTTATTACACAGTGGATGGTTGAAGGAAGATCCAACCTTTTCTATGCCAGACCTGTCATTTTTAGAGCAAAGCCACTTTGGCCTTTGACAAATGCAAATTATTGCAGCATTATGGCCAAGATGTAGGGCACCAATGCTAAAACCACCCAACAGTGTATGTATGCATGCATGCATACACAAACATACATATATTAAAAAAAAAAAAAACAACTTTCCTCTCACCCTCTTGGGGTGGTATCTGTGTCATCCTCAATCTCGGGTCCTCTACCAGAGGCCTGGGAGTTTGAGGGTTCTGTGCTGTTCCTAGCTGTTTCTTCTGGACTGAGGCTTCTGTTGTTGTTCCTGGGATCTGTTGGAGCCACTCCCCCCAGTTTGGGGGTCACTGCCCCGAGTGCTCCTACTACCACAGGGACCACAGTCGCCTTGACCTTCCACATCTCCTCCAGCTGTTCTTTCAACCCTTGGTACTTTTCAACCTTTTCGTGTTCCTTCTTTCTGATGTTGGTGTCTGCTTGTATGGTCTCATCTATCACCACCGCCTTCATCTGCTCCTTGTCTACCACCACTATGTCTGGTTGGTTAGCCAGGACCTGTTTGTCAGTCTGGAAGCTGAAGTCCCACAGCACCTTGGCCCTGTTGTTCTCAGCCATCTTCTGTGGTGCGGCCCATTGGGATTTGGGTACTTCTATTCCATACTGGGAAAAGATGTTCCTGTACACTATTCCAGCCACTTGGTTGTGTCTCTCCATGTACGCTGACCCGGCTAGCATCTTACACTCTGCTACTATGTGCTGGACTGTCTCAGGGGCATCTTTGCATAGTCTGCACCTTGGGTCAGATCTACTCTTGTAGATCTTGGCCTCTATGGCTCTTGTACCTAGGGCCTGTTCTTGTGCTGCCATGATCAGTGCCTCTGTGCTGTCTCTGAGTCCAGCCTTTTCCAGCCATTGGTAGGTCTTCTCGATATCAGCCACTTCTTCAATTTGGTGGTGGTACTTGCCATGTAGGGGCTTGTCCCTCCAGGTTGTCTGCTCCTCTTCCTCTGCACTCTTATCAGGTTTCTGTTGCCTGAGACATTCACTTAGCAGTTCATCCTTTGTGGCCATTTTTCTGATGTACTCTTGGATTTTTTATGTTTCATCCTGGATAGTGGCCTTGATGCCCACTAGTCTTCGGCCTCCCTCTTTCCGCTTAGCGTACAGTCTCAGGGTGCTGTATTTGGGGTACAGCAGGTTATCTGATAACTGGTAGTGCGTACATGTTGATGGCTTGGATCTTGTTCCTGCCATTCAGCTGACTTTTCAGGACCTGCCTTACTCTTTGGAGGTATTTGGTTGTGGTCAACTTCCTTGCGGCTTCCTCATGGTTTCCATTAGCCTGTGGGATACCAAGGTACTTGTAGCTGTCTTGGATATCACCTATGTTGCCCTCTGGTAGGTCAACCCCTTCAGTTCTGATCATCTTGCCTCTCTTTTAGACCATCCGGCCACACTTGTCCAATCCGAATGACATCCGTATGTCGTTGCTGTAGATCCTGGTGGTGTGGATCAGTGAGTCGATTTCTCGCTTATTCCTGGCGTACAGCTTGATGTCATCCATGTAGAGCAGGTGGCTAATTGTTGCTCCACTTCGGAATTGGTACCCGTAACCACTCTTTGTGATGATCTGACTGAGGGGGTTCAGGCCTATGGAGAACAGCAGTGGTGATAGCGCATCTCCTTGGTATATGCCGGTTACATATGAATAGAATATTAACAGAATAAAACTGTTTAAAAGTCTTGAAAATGGAGCAGTCCAGACGGCAGTGGCCTCTCTCGTGGTCCGTGGAACAATGCGGCCGAGGGATGGTGGATGGGAGCCTAAGTATAAAAAGGCAGCGTTAGCAAGGAAGATAGCCCTCTGGCTGGCACACTGACTCCTACCTTATATACACCCTTCTCAGTCCCCGGCACAGCCTGATTATGTCCCCACAAACGCCCAAAGTCAATTCCCAAAACTAGATGTTTGCATGCAACAAAACAAATCAAAGAAATAAACCACACACTTATAATCCAAACCAAACTCAAGAAACTCAAACAAAACTTGACGAAGGCATAGGGTGGCTACAATCAGCTAGCTAACTCTTCCTGTTGAATAAAGAGAGGTAATAATCTGGATGGAGAGGCTAAGCATGCTTCACCCCTGCCCGAAACCAACAGCGACTTCCTCTCTCATTTTCATCCTCGGCCCGACACTCCCCCCGTTCTGCCGTGCCGTTGGCTCCGTCCTGTCACTTCCGCACCGTCTGCTCCTCGCGACGTCTGCTCTGCACCTTCTCTCTTCCCGCTGTCCGTCCGCGGTCCCCTTCCTCTGGCACCCATGCTCTCGTTCCTCTTTCCCCGTCTCACTGCGTCTGTCGACCTGCGGAGGGAATCAAGAAACCCGCCTGCCCGCAGCACCCAATCACCGCCGTCCCTCCTGAGTGGACAGGTGTTCCTAATTCCCCCTCTAATGATCAATCTTCCTGCGCACTCACACAAGGAGGGAGGAGACCAGCACATACACACTAACACTCACACCCTGTGACAATGTTAAAACCAACATTGACTTGGTTCGTTGGAAATTGGAAATGAACAGCTTTACAAATGTACACGTGAAAGACCAAGAAAGAATTGTTTACCAAACCCGCCATATTGTATTTTCTTACACATGAGCATGTAAAGATTATTCAAAAATAATTGTGATTTCTAATGTTTTTTCCAACTGTTGTTTTTCCAGCCTCATGGTGTACTGGTTAAAACTCCTAAGAATGTAACTCTAGACCCAACTAATAAAGGTGAAGGTGAGTTCACCCATTAAATAGCTACATTATACAGTACATTTAGTAATATTATGTATTTATATTTGCTAACTAATCCCCCAACTTGTCCACTGTTTCTCCCTTCAGGTGGTATACAGGAAGTAATTATGAACAATGAAATTCCGAGGAAAGATGTGGCTCCAAACACACCTACTAGCACACAGATCTCTTTAACAGGTGAGATATAATGTGTTTGGGCATGTTATGTGATACAGCATCAGCACAATCAATTCTACATTGAATTAAATTTGTATTGTTCTTATTGGGAAATAACCACTGGTCATGGGGGACCTTTGCATGTTTAGTTGTTTCTTCCAGTTGATTTATAACACCAGTTTTTCTGTTTGTTCATACAGGAAGAGAACAAGTATCTGCACTTGTGGAGAATGCCATTAAGGGTAACTCAATGGGTAGTCTGATCTACCAGCCGTCAGGCTGTGGAGAGCAGACCATGATCCACATGACCCTGCCTGTCATTGCAACCATATATTTGGACAAAACCAACCAGTGGGAAGCTGTGGGTTTTGACAAACGCAAGGAAGCCCTCCAACACATCAAAACTGGTAGGCTCACCCAGATGTGTAATCTTCCATCTGGAATTGGTAAAGTTTCTGACTTGGCAGGAGTGTCATATAAAAAGACAATATGATAGACAGCAATGTACCACTGCACCAATCCAAGTGAGTGACACTGAGAATAAATGGGGTCAATACAACTCAGACACATAGACTACAGCCATTTTCAAACAAATTTCCTTATACAAACAAAAACCTATGCTATGCCTGGAAATATGCTATAATCACAGACAAAATATGTGCGCTTCAGTAGAGCAATGAATGGTAGTCAGTGAAGAGGTTGTGTGTTTTTGTTTGTGTCCAGGCTATGAGCTTGAGCTTACCTACCGTAAAAAGGATGGATCTTTTGCTGTGTGGAAAAATCGCCCAAGTAGCACCTGGTGAGGCATCTCAACATTTATGAACTCATATGTACTTATTTACACACTTTACCTAAATTTAAATTCTGAGTATGTATTTCATGTGCAAATAAAAAACAAAACTATCACACAACCTCTCCTCTGCTCTCTAAGGCTGACAGCCTATGTTGCCAAGGTGTTTGCCATGGCCAAAGATCTGGTGACAGTGCAAAACCACATCATCTGTGATGCTGTCAAGTTTCTGATTCTAAATGCACAGCAACCTGACGGCATGTTTAGAGAAGTTGGACGTGTGTACCACGGAGAGATGATTGTGCGTTCACTGCTTTCATTCACATCAATTCCTCATCTCGATGATACAAAAATAGCTAATCAATATGAAAACAATTACATGACTATCATCTTAAAAACATGTGTGTGTGTGTGTGCATGTGCAGGGTGATGTTCGTGGCACAGATTCGGATGCCTCCATGACAGCCTTCTGCCTCATAACCATGCAGGAGTCACGGACAATATGTGATGCCACAGTAAATGTGAGTACCTCAACTTAATATATGGGTAGTGTGTATGTGCACATGCCACACTGGTGACTTGCGAAACAAAGCACTGAACCACTATGATGTAACTGACCATTTGCTTAGCCCCAACCCCCTTAGTTACTGTTGCTACTACCTTCAAGCTGTCTGTTCTCACATGGTACATAATGCAGTGTATCATGGTAACAAGTGCATATTTAAAGGTCAAGTGTGTAAGATTTGATGGAATATAATATTCATAGGTGTGTTTTGTTTTATACCTTTGACTCTTAGACGAATAGGAAGCAGAGCCCAGTTAAGCTAAAAGGGAACCTAATAAAAATCGAAATAAATTAAATAATTAGTGGATAATCACTTGAATGAGACGTTCATATCTACAGAGAGCTCTTTTCAAAAGCTAGTTAAACAGATATTTTAAAGACTGACGCTTAGATCATTCAGAATGATCAAACCCTCTTTGGATGAAAAGGAATAAAATTGTAAAACTAAATTGAAAAAATCTAGTTGCATTATGCCTAAAAACTGCTGCGTTGCATTTTGCATGTCAAGCATTGCTTTACTTCCCCAAAGAGCAAAGGTCAGTCAAAGAAGAGACCTGTGACTTCAGCCAATCAGCAGACAGGATGAAAATGGTAAACTCTGGGACACACTGGCCAGTCAATAAGTGTACTCTCGCACGTTGTTAAACAAAAAATATTTAGGAGTGGTAATGTTGCCTTGTGAAAAGAGTACACTTACAGGGCGCAGACAAAGACCCTAAAGGGGGCTTGCACCCCTGCCCTTTTGCCCCAGACTCGACAAGTGCCCTCTTGGCTGATGTTAATTGTATTAGATTTATTTATTTTATTTCAATTGATTAAGCAGATATTTAAAATAGTTGAATTACAGCCTTTTGTGTTCACACTGAAATCACTGCTATATATTAACTCATTGTTCACTTTTTTCCTTCCTTTCTGTTCCTTCTGTCCAGAGTCTGCAAGGCAGTATAGACAAAGCAGTGGCCTACCTGGAGAAGCGTCTACCCCACCTCACCAACCCATACGCTGTTGCCATGACATCATATGCCCTGGCCAATGAAAACAAACTGAACCGGGAGATCCTCTACAAGTTTGCTTCCCCAGGTGTCCTCACACAGCAATATTCCTCAACTAATATTCAGAAAGAAGAGTCTATATGACTGTATAGATTCAAAAACAATACACATACATAAATATTAATAATTGGTAACATTTTTGATTTAAATTGTAATTCCAATAAAGCCAATTAAATTGAAATAAATAACTACATTTATTAATAGGTAAAACTAGATTTATTAGAGCCAACCAACACACTGGTATGGTCCCTGTTATAGGATGATTTCCGCTCAGTACAGAAATGCAAAAGCTATGTTTGAGGTAATTTAGAAACAGTGACATATATATATTGTCTACCAGAACTGACATTATAGTCATGCTCATACTTAAACATCAATATATAGATTTGCCCTAAATCCATTATTCCATCAGGCTCTCATGTGTAGTATAAGTGAATCTCAAATAAGCAAATTTTACTTATTTTATATATTTCAGACTAGGGATTTAGGAATTAATAGTGAATTAAGTTTGTTCCAGGTACAGCATGGTAATAAAACGGTATTTGTATTTGTCCTCAGAGTTGTCCCACTGGCCAGTACCTAAGGGACATGTTTACACACTGGAGGCCACAGCTTATGCCCTTCTTGCTCTGGTCAAAGTAGAGGTGAGCATGTCCCACTTGTGAGTTTCATCAGAATGCCAAGTTACAGAAAGCAACAACAGAGTCCTCATTCATGCTGCCCGACTAAAAGGGTAGTGGGTTTGAAAACAAAAGTCAGTGAAATGGGTTTTTAAGTAATGTCCCGGCCACAAAATGTATGATTAAACATAGACATTATACATATTTGCTGAAGTTATAAAAACAGGGACAGATTTGAACATCCTCCAGCACTTTATAATCACACAGTAATAACAATTACAAACAAAAACAGACTTGATGGTTCTTGGGATTGATTGCTTGTATCAGGCAACTTTTGAGTAGTCTGCAGTCTGATTGTGCCATCATTCAAAATTACTTAGTTCTATGGTAGGCTTTGGAAACTGGCAGTTTGTATAACTGTAACAGAATCAGGACTTTCAAGTTATTTTAAGACAAAGTCAACCACAGACAATTTCAACAGTTTACTTTCCTTCTGTTAATAAAGGCCTTTGAAGAAGCCAGACCTGTGGTCAGATGGTTCAACCAACAGCGGAAGGTGGGCGGAGGCTATGGATCAACTCAGGTAACACAGACTGCTCTCTACATCTTGATATAGTTTTGTACCGCTACCAGTTTTCAGTGCAGTTCCACATCTTTTTGGTTTATAACATATTTATATAATAACCTATTTTTTCTCTTCTTTTCTCCAGGCCACTATAATGGTGTACCAGGCTGTATCTGAGTACTGGGCCAATGCTAAAGAACCAGAGTATGATCTGAATGTGGACATCTTGTTGCCAGGAAGGTCAAAGCCTGACAAGTACAATTTTAACAGGGAAAACCACTTTACCACGAGAACATCTAGAGTGAGAACACACACACAAACACACAAACACACAGTAGCTCATTAATGCCATCATTGCTTGTCTGCATCTTTCCTCTGCTGATAAGTGTGTGTTTGTGCATATTTAAATTCCCACAGATCAAAGACATAAACCAGAATGTGACAGTGACTGCCACAGGCACAGGAGAAGCAACAGTGACTGTAATTAAATGTTTTTTACCTGACTTTTATATGATGTTGTTTACTGATGTGTCCTCTTTGAATCTATGAAAACCTTTTCTTTCTTTTTTTACCTTCTGTGGACTATTATTAAGACGGATTGCCTATTACCTTGTCACATATTACATGCACTTTTATCTGTGTGACAGATGGTGTCGCTGTATTATGCTCTGCCTAAGGAAAAGGAAAGCGACTGTCAGAGGTTTAACTTGTCAGTGGAGCTCATTCCAGGTAATTTCTTTGTTTTGTCTTAGTTTGTTGTCATTTTATCTGTTTGTGTGCTTGTTTTTGTCGATTCTGTTTGCTTACTGTATCTGCTTGTCCCATTACCCTGCTGTACATTCAAAAACAATACATTAAATGCTAATCTAATGTTTTGCTACTGCAGAGAAAATGGATGAAGATAAGAAGATATACAAGCTGAAAATAGAGGTCATGTAAGTACAATCAAGAAGTTACACAGCAAAGTCACACTTTCTTTGCTTCAGAAAACAATGATGGTCTTCTTCAGTACTCTTTACAATAAGCTTTTACACCCATTGGAGCTCATTTGAACTGCCCATTATTTGTTTAAATTATTTTGTCCATTTTCTGTACAGGTCGAAGGACAAGAAGCACGATGCAACCATGTCAGTTTTGGATATTGGCTTGTTAACTGGCTTTACCGTTGACACCAATGACCTGAACTTAGTAAGAACCTTCAAAGATACGCACTAGTGCTGTCAAACGATTAAAATATTTAATCGCGATTAATCGCATTAATGTCATAGTTAACTCGCACTTAATCGCACATTTTTATCTATTCTAAATGTCCCTTGATTTCTTTTTGTCCCATTATTTTTTCTCATTTTAATTCTCTTATCAACATGGAAAAGTGGATCGGCTTGCTTTGTGCAAATGTTTTTTTTTTTTATTGAAAACGACATTGGCATATACTGTAGTGTTCAATTTCACACTAACATTCTCACTTGGAGCAAATAATCTTTCACACAATGTAATCAAGTGGTATTTTATACTAAACGTGCTGCGATGATAGCTCAGTTCACAACGACAAAACACAGATCACTTTGGTCTTGTCAATGGAACCATTTGGCAACTTTTTAAAAGTAAACTTTCCATTCAGAATATTATTGGCATCCATTTCGGCGTCTCGCGTTCGCCATCCACTCAAAACGTAACGTCTGCTACTCTTAAACAAGTGTGTGCAGCGTGCCTGTTGTTTTGTTTCCCGTCTAGCTATATCCGGTGTGGTGTTGTAGTTTTTCTAACATTACTAGTTGTTGCAACAGCATGTGAAAAAAACTACAAAGTGTGCTAGGCCAAAAAGAATGTCTCGCGATAAAAAAACGCCATTAAAATGGGTTTGCCTTAACGCCGTTAACAACGCGTTTAACTGACAGCACTAATACACACAGATACCCACATACTGTACAGTTCAAAAACAACTGTTTATGCTTAGGAGACAAGACAAGATGTGTTTTATGGTTTATAAAAGTTGACTATGACAATGTGTGTGTGTGTGTGTAGTTGTCCAAAGGACGTGCCCGCACCATTGCAAAATATGAGATGGACACAGTCCTGTCAGAAAGAGGCTCACTCATCATCTACCTGGACAAGGTAAGACAATGCTCTTTCTTCCTATCCCCTTTTCCCTCTGCCTTGTTCTTAATTTCTTTATCTCTACCTCACCTTGTTTTACATCTCTCCACAGATTTCTCACACTCAACCAGAAGAGATCACTTTTAGGATCCATCAGCAGATGAAAGTGGGCGTCTTACAACCAGCTGCTGTGTCTGTCTATGAATACTATGACCGTGAGTCTCAGAGACATATGCTGTCTCCGTTTGTGGCCAATAGATAGTAGGAGTAGGTAACATGAGGTGTCATTACATTTTCAAATTATTTAATCTGTATTTTTGAATGTACAGCAATTGGCACAAAATATATTTGAAATATCTTTCTTTCTTGTTGCAGAGACACCTTGTGTGAAGTTCTACCATCCTGAGAGGAGAGCTGGAGAGCTTCTGCAGCTCTGTAGAAATGATGTATGCACAGTATGTGCTGAAGGTAAACAGGATGTTGTCTAACTGACGACCTAATCTGTCTACTTTAAACTTAGCTAATTTAAAGGCAGACTATGCAAGATTTTTACCTTAATATAACAGCTTTGAAGTCATTTCGATGGTAAACGAACTCATAGTATAGCGAATCATCCCGATAGCAAAGCAGGAGAGGGACGCCGTTGGCAGAACCAGCAATGCAAGTCTGCAAGGTGGCGCCCCGCCAAATCTTGCGAGAATCACAAATTGCTTTACGGCGCGACGTCACATACATCGGCGACATAAGAAGTAGCCTCAATGGAAGACACTAGCAGGCATTTACTCAGACGTTACCTGGTCAGTAGACATTTTCTATCTTTGCCTGCTCGATGTCCGAGCTTCCATCCTACTGAACATATATCGGTATACAGGGGGGAGGGGATCAGGCAGTGAGTGCAGAGACGCAGAGCCGTATATAGAGACGGCTCTGGTGAGTGGTATTTACGACAGTTACGACAGTTAACGTTAAATACAAGTACTCTGCAGCGACTCTAGGGGTAGCTGTTTGACAAAACTGGAAAACTGCATAGTATGCCTTTAACCACCTTACACCTAAACACAATAACATTGTGGATCATAGAGCACTGATCAGTTGCTTAACATTGGCTTATCATTCTGCATTGTCTATAAACTGCAGCAGTTTTTATTGTACTTCAGTACACTTGGTACTGAAGGAAGATTAAACATGAGTCTACAGCCATGCCATGGGCTCTCAAAGGCTGCCTAAGCACAGCAGCTTTGAGCTAAATGCTATTGTCAGCATGTTAACATTCTCAAATGTCATTAATAATCATACTAACCTTCCATCCCCAAATCACAAGACATGAATGTTAGAACCAAATTTCGTGGCGATCCATCAAATAGTTGTCGAGACATGTCACTAAAAGCCAAGAATGTCAACCTACTGGTTCAGGAGATTACATTTAACATTATGACTATTAATAATTGTTTTATTATTTATGTGATGTGACAATAAAGCCACAGTCACTGAATAAGTGGTTGGTTCCAACTGACTTACAAAATGTTTCGTCACTTCAGAAATCAAATTAATTTATTTAACACACTTAAAAATGTTCCAAACATTAACTTAATCCAAAATCCAAAAGTATTTTGAACAGACACACTATTTTAACCACAGCTTTAGTCCCTGACGTTTACTGACTATCCACCCCATGTGGATTAGTGGTTGTAATTAATCTCCATGGTAGATTAGTAACATATTAACTTCCACTGCACAATTTTAAGGCAAAGTGTACAACTGTTAATTTGTGCCAATGACAAGTAACTCCTTGAATGGTATAATTAGGAGGGTTTAAGTGGTTAAGAGCAGTGGGTAGTAGCCCACCTGTTTATTTTTAGGCTAGTTACGCATTCACTTTATCTGCTATTGTCTGCCGTTTTGTTCCGCTGTTTTATTACAGAGAGTTCAATTTTTTACACAATATATGCTTTACATCAGCTTCCAGTATGTAGTATGTAATCATCAGTAAATCTGTGATCAAGACTAGGTCAAGCTTACTTTTTTTTCATGCTTTTTCTGTTATTCTGGATTTTATGAATTCTGCTCTTGTGAAATAGTCCCCTGATTATCCTCTCAGACTTTGTAAAATTCCTCTGCAGACAACAGTACAACTGTATCCTGTAAACGTTACCACCAGTAAAGTGTCTGTTTAAAATCTGGTGAAGGAGATGGTCCGGGAATTAGTTCTACAGTAAATCAGCTGATTGTAACATAAACATCAGAACTTTCTGTCAGCGGCAACAAGCACCAGCAGGATCCTGTACAATCAGAGCAACAATCAGAGTCACTAACATACTTACATTGTGACTTAGATACACCTGCTCTCATCCATCAACTAATCCACGCACCAACTTATGTCATCAGTTGTATATTACTGTTTCTATCGTGTACTTCCAGAGAACTGCAGTATGCAGAAGAAGGGCAACATCGACAACGATCAGCGCACAGCTAAGGCCTGTGAGAGTACTGAGACCACCAAAATAGATTTTGGTGAGAGACTGCAACTTGACTGCATTTATGTTGTGTTTTTATCCAGAACAATTACTGTGTATGTTTGTGAGAGTAAGAGGTCGAGAGAACAAGGGAGCAAGCAAACTAACAATCTGCAACTTGACTATCCTCAGTGTACAAAGCGGAGCTGCGGAAGTTTGAAGATGGTTTGTCCACTGACGTTTACACAATGCGAGTACTGAAAGTCATCAAAGAAGGTTGGTATTTTTTGCCTCTTTCTGACATTTTATGGGCACTTTGTATCTTAATGGTGTTTCCAGTTAGACATTAAAATGACTGCCCATTTAAAGGGGAAGTCTGACATTTTGGGAAACACCACTTACCCCCTTTCTTGCAGATAGTTAGATGAGAAGATTAAAAAACCACTCACATAATTATATACTAAATATGAAGCTATGACTAGCAGCGAGCTAACTTAGCTTGCATCGTCAGGCAACCAGTGGATACTCTGGGAAGTTACTGGCCAAGAAATAGTTCAGTATGTAACCCTGCATAAAAAGGGGAAATGTTTTTACATTTTGTTTTTTCGTATGCATTAAATAAACAAGATTAGAGGTGATGGTAGGTGAATTGTATTACCTTTGGAGAGAGTCAGTCTTAAAGCTAAACTAAGTTGTCTGGCTGTAGCTCCATATTTACTGACTTGTTGAACTATTCCTTTAAGCATGACTCCACTGGGAATATGTGAGAATACAACAGTAATCTCTTATCTAGCACCTTTAACTATGCATTTAAAATACCTTCTCTCTCTCCTCCCTTACATTTTAATTACAGGAACTACTGATGTGGGTCCTCAGGGTAAACTGCGCACATTCCTCAGTTACCCTCACTGCAGGCAGGCTTTAGATCTGAGAACAGGCAAAACCTACCTTGTCATGGGAACATCCAAAGATATTTACAAAGACGAGGAAAATCAGTCAGTCACTCAGTAAGTGTGTTCTTTGAGTGAATGTGCATGTGTGTTGTGTTTGTAACCCTTCATAACATTGTCTCTATTATCTATTATTGTTTATTATCTAAACAGTTTCAAGGCTTTTTAAATCAAGTTCACTTTTCTCGTACTCTAGTTTATGCCTTACATTTGCTTTTTTGATAGAGCCATTAAATCTTCAGTTTTTTGTAGGAAGGAGGGGGTTATGATTTTTCATGTTCTGTTCCAGTTACAGATAGCTGGCCACATCAAGTATCATTGTATTTCATACTTTGCTCTCCTCAGGTATCAGTATGTGCTCGGTGAGAGAACCTGGATCGAGTACTGGCCCTCAGAAGCAGAGTGTCAAACTGAGGAACATGGAAGTACCTGTAGGGGCATGGAGGAGCTGGAACAGCAGTATGAGCTCTTTGGATGTCAGCAGTAGTGAAACAAGTCAAATGTTCTTTTCAAAACCTCCACTGCTATGAAATATGAGGGCTGCAAAAGTTACAATATTACACTGCATTAATTAAAATGTTATGGTCTCATTGTCTTTGTCTCATATACATATTTACTTTGGATTATCGAAGAAAGTTAGACAAAAGGTGATCACTGTTATATTGATTACTGTATACTAAGCTTTGACAAGTTCAACTTGAAGTTGAAGTTTCAACATTTGATAATGTTGAGGTTAGTGGAGTAATGCATGTTAAGTTCAGCAATGTAAAATGAAACATATTTTTAAATCGGCTGTGATTCAGAATATGACTCAGATCATACAGCAGTAATATAGGGTGCATTTTAAGCTGTTGTAAAACCACTGGCAAGTTATGCAAGTGAAATGATGTGGTTTCACTGGCTAAATTGGTTTAGCAAGAACATTAAATTAGTTAGATTAGAAAGTAGATTGGAAATCATGCAGAAAGATATGTAATGTCGAAGATGACTTTCAGAAATACTGTGATTATTTTAAAGGATGAGTTGGGTGAATTTATTTCAGAAAATATAGGTTCTGTTGAAGACCCTTGCATGTTTTGGGGTGTATTAAAGGGATTCATAAGTTTCATAACTTTTTACAATACACTCTCTTTCCCTATTTGCAGACGATATATTAGTGTATTTCAATATTGTCCCCTTTTCATTCCTCATATTTTGGATGTCTTTGCCCAGTTTAGTTTTAGTCTATGTGGTTACAAGATCAATTGGTCAAAGTCCCAACTATTGCCTCTTAATTACTCTTTAAATCCATCTCTACTCACTCCTAATATTCCAGTGGTTAATAAAGTACCTAGGCGTTGATATCCATCCCTCCTTTTTTTTTTTTTTACCTCTGGCTCAGGTTAGCAATGCATACCTATGGGGTCTCGTTGGGTGAAGCTTTATTAACTCATTCACTCCATTCTCTATTAGATGTGTGAGGTCATACTAGAAGCTTAGTATCCAGGATATACTTACTAACTTCTAGCAGTCCATCAAATGTGGACTAGGGATCTTGGCTGTTCTGTCAATGAAATTTGCTGGTCAACAGTTTAGGTCAGTTTAGATGGTACTTCCAAAAACCCGAACCACAAACTTTACAATACACTTTACATTTTTGCAAAGAATGTCTCACTCCTAGAAATCTCCACTTGATAAAGTTCAAATCCTCTCCTAATTGTGAATTATGCCCTAATGGGGACATGGGGTCTTTTCTGCCCATGTACTGGAATTGCCCAGAAGTAGTGTATTTTTTGGAAAATGGTATCTATAACATTATTCAACTTAATACTAAAGTGCCATATTGTCCTAAGCTGCTCCGACTGAATGATACCTCCACTGTAAGCCTCTCATTTCATCAGACACAAACACTTTCAGTTGGTTTGACAGCGGCAAAAAAAAGGTTAGCCCTCTACTGACAACCTCCTCATTTTCAGACTTGTTCAGATACACTGGCTACAGTCTTTATTGGATATAGAATATATGGAGCTGCCAGAAGCAAGAATGCACAATGCCAAACAATCAACAATCAGTGCCTGGGCTTTATTTACTGATAAAGTAAAAGATATTCTAGGGACACGCTAGGTCATAGACTTTATACAACTACTCTCTTCATGTATGTATAAGAAGCCTATTTTTATTCATTTATTTTTAATCTTTCCCTTATAAATCTTTTACTTTCTCTATCTTGTTCTGTTAAGGCCAATTACAATGTGATTTGACATTGATATGTCTAGTGGTTCCATCACACTGGAGAATAATAATGAAAGGAGAACCCTTGTCTAGTGCCATGCTGAAAAATACAGTTAAATTGCATCATGTATACGTACTACGTAGTCATTTCTTTCATTTTAGGTCCAAATTCCCTGAATGTACCCTGAATAAGTACTCCATTTGGTCAAATGCCCCCTCAAGACAAAATTAAATAGCTACAAATTATCTGTATTTATTATTATTATGTAGCCTACCTTGTTTGAATGGGTGACACTTCAAATTGTAAACTTGTGTTAAGTAGTAAGAAAGTTTCGTAAAGCCATAACATATAAATACAATACTGTATTATAGAGAAAATCCTGCGTTATTAAATGATATATTGATGAGACACAATATGTAAATGAGTGTAATGGTGTAATGTTCACGGAAAAAAGCCACTAAACCCTACTAGATTTGTTTTATGTCCCCATGGATATTTCAGAATGATTATACACAGCTTGAAATTACAAACTGGTTCAAGTAGTGCTCTGGATATTTTCCACTGTAATGGTTTGCTATTGATAGCATTTCCCACTGGCATACTGCCAAGATATTTTATTCAAGTCTGCCTTATAAAATCTACAGTAGTTGTTCTATGCAAAAATGCATTCCCAAGTTAATGTGAAACTAGCATATATGAGTTGGACAAATTAAGTGGATGTCTTCCAAAGACTCCGTGCAAAATGAGGACTGTAGACTTTAGTGATATCTCAGTGGCCTTCCAATGTACATATGGGCATGTGACTATTGTTTTAAAACAGACTTAAAACCTTAGAAGGTATGTGGATAAAAGGAGGGTGTTGGAGAGCGAGAGTCTACAATGACAGGAGACGTGGAACCGTTTATACTAAGGAGGGGTGTCCAATGGAGAGGATCAAAAAATGTTTTTCTATTCTAGATTGCTAAATTTACTTGAATTTATGTGTTTTTTAAAATTAGTATTAATTATTATTCTAATTATTATATTATATGTTATTATTATACTATGTGCTTTCTGTCAAATTTTAATAACTAATATCAAATGCATTGTCCTCATGGACTTTAGGGGTCCAGATTAACAAAGCTTTCTGAACCCAGAATTCTTGAATTTTCTTAATAAAATTGTAATTCCATATGATTTTTTCTAATATTTTGAGAAATGTAATAGTTTTTCAGAAAATATATTAAGATGATGCAGAAAAATTGTAATGAGATCAATAACAAGGGACTTTCTGCATTTGTAATCATTTACAGTAATTCATAGTATTGACAGATATTGGAAGTAAGAGCTTAACTCTGCTCCATTTCACCTGTGTTTGTGTAGCATAAGTCAAGGTGCTGTGGTCCTTTAAATGGTGCCAGTAAATTGAATTTGCACAGTGATGAAATACATCAGACACAACAAACAAACAACCAGTCTGAAATATTTAATTGATCCAGTGCTGGTCCTTAGCCAAGATAATCAATAGATCACTCATTACATATGAAGTCCATGCTAGGGCAGAAGATCCTTATCTGAGCAAATATGTTATTTTTTAAATTCGGTGACCTCGTATAACTGTTGAGAAATACAAAATAACATAAAAACATTAAGTATATTTGTCAGTATTCCTCAGTTTCTCAGTAAGTCAGTAAATCCTAAACAGCATGTGGTTCAGTAACTATATTTTTAAAGGAGACCCATGATGCTCTTTCTTAGTTTTCTGTCATATATATGTATATATATTTATATATGTTTCGATTGATTGGCCACCGATCATTATGAGCCAATATTCACTCTAAATAGATTGATCGGAGGTCTCTACAAAGGGGAACAGAACAGCCATTCAGATGATACATTCATTTTATTCCACAGGAAGTTATACAGTCTTTGAACCACATAGATTTTCTTAGGCAGGTCACCCGCTATAACCAGCATCTCATTTTAGTTTTTTGCAGAGAAACAAAGAGAGAGAGAGAGAGAGAGAGAGAGAGAGAGAGAGAGAGAGAGAGAGAGAGAGAGAGAGAGAGAGACGTTATATGGTGGACACGATGGATAATTTTTTTCAAGCACTGACCAAGAAAAACACATTTAAGTTTTTAATAGACGTCATAGAAGACGTCACTTGTGTTTGTGGGTGACTAAAATATATTACTGACAACAAAGTCAACAGAGCAGACACATGATACCTTGAGAGAGAAGCAGAAAGCTGGTGTGTGTTAGACAGACGTGTCTAACCCTAACCCAACAATTTGAAATACAAATATACCACTCCCCCCTCACCACAGTCGCACTGCCATTCTGTGGGAAACTGTATATTTGTAATGCTCCAATAATGAGCGTAGGCTGAAATGGTTTAAGTCGTGTCCCTAAGAAGCACACTGGAATATGTTGCACATGTTGTCTGCCAATAAATAAACAGTTGTCATTTCATATTATTTTAATTTCCAGGTTAATTTTCAATTCTACTATAATACTGTCAATGGTTTACATGATTTAATGTTAAAAAAACACATTATTTTTACGATACTGGCAATTCCTGCAAAGGTCAACTGATCATGAAGTCACCCAATCAGTTTGTGGAGTACCGTTTAGAAGCCTTGAGTTGGGCATTATGGTCATCACCATGCTGCTTTGTTGAAGCCAGTGGAGTTGACGTACTGTTGGGTTGAGCTGCACTCTTTGGCTGTACAGTTTCGACTCGCCTGTAGAATCGGCACATATATATATGGTCCGTAGCATAAAACAATGACAGCTTGTTTGAAAAAATATGTTTGTGAAACGATTTTCGGCAAGAAATGTGTAATGCAGTAACAAAATCGATCACAAGGTAGCCACACCAAAAAGCTTTATTGTCTATTTTCCTCTGATAATCTAGCAACAGAACCAAACAAAATGATCTTTGGTATAGTTTTTTCCAACTGGTGCTCAGCAACATAACATTGGTTCTTTATGTTTCTCTCTTGCAACTGGACTTGCTGGGAATGAATAGCATTAAGTTTAATTGTTGTAGGGACATGAAGGGAAATTAGTTCATCTGTGGAACACTTTTTTAAAGCTTTTTAAAAAAGAATCGTAGAATGTTCATGCAGTTCACTGAAAACCCTGGCAGTATTTGAAACTGCCTACTATACCAGCAGCACGGACACAGACACACACACTGATGCGCAACTTAACAAAGAATGGAAGACGTGGCAGTGATCCTGGTGACATCGCAGTGGTATCGGGGAAAGGCATATGCATTCCAGAGCAAAACTGGAGCAGGATGGAGTGCTAGATAACTTTTGAAAAAATCAGCTCCACGCTCCATCCAAAATCCTTTATGTCAATCTGAATGGGACTATGATCTGAGTTAACTATTAC